ACACACACACACACAAACGCGCGCGCATACACACTAAAAAAATAAAAAATAAAGCTCACGAGCGCGCTTGGCAATTGTGAACGTGCACAAATACAGAAAAGCTTCAATTATTCACACTGTGATATTTATATGCTAAAATATTTATCCACTGTAACGGGATCACGCGTCGGCCTGTCTCGCCTGCTATCCCCAATTGGCCCCCATCAATTCCCGCTGCCATATATTTGATAATAATTGTTTATTTCAGGCTGGAGTAACGTGACGTGCCCTCCCAACTGCAGCCCCATTCCTCCACACTGAGTTGTCTGGTTGTGTGTGTGTGTGTATGTGTGTGTGTAGGGGGGGCGCATGGCATTCAGACACACAGGCACTTTGTATTTATTTTCTAACAAGAAGTAGTTTTCAGCCATGCCTTTCTTTGTCCGTCTCTTTGATGCAGAGGTGCTGTAACATTTACAGTGCATGGTGGTGCTTTTAAGGCTCTATCTAACTGCTCCTGTGGTTCCTACCTGGTGTGATGCCACACTGCAGCCCGGTTTCACTCCACCTCACCCTCTGAAAGATGTGTAGCTAGAGGCCAACACCAACACATTTGAAGGGCTAAATCAGCCTTGAGTGGACTTGGCATTGTTGTTGTTTGTGTGCGCTGACTGATAAAAGAGAAAAAATGGATATGTGTAGGTGCACTTAAGGAACCTCCTCCAAAGGTATTAAAAGCTAGGGGGAAAAAAAATATTCACTGCAAACCTTGAGAAGTGTCATAGCAATGATTGGCTTTATGCCTCCTGAGATACAGTAAGACACACACACACACACCCAAATTTCCACCCTGCAACATTCACCAGGTAATTGCATACTGTATGTCACAATGTCAGATGGAATATCTGTGATGAATGCAGCTCAGGCCTTCAAAGTAAGTACCCTCCCACTCTGCCAGCTGGGCTATTTGTTCAACCAGCGTGTTACTTGGATGCAGGCGGAGTGTGATGGAGGTGGTAGATTTCGTGATTATACATTTATTTTTTCGTGTCAGTTAACCCAGTGGTGTGTTGTTACAGAAAGGTACCCTCCTCGATTGAGAGTGATTCACCCTGCAAAGCTTTCTCTCCACCTTTTATCACCGTCATCGTTAGCACCATTATCCATGAGTGCAAGCTGAGAAGGTGCGTGTGACTGAGTGTGTGTGTGTGTGTGTGTGTGTGGGTGGGTGGGTGCCTACATGCCTGTGTCTGTGTGTTCATGTGTGTCTTGTACAGTACACACACATGTGATATCACTGACAGAATTCTGTAACTGAGTGTTTTGCATTTGTAAATGATTTATTAGATCTGCATGAAAAATAAAGGAACACATTGCATCAGCTGTTAGACGGTGCCATCCCTGACAAAACCCCATTACAAATGCAAACCAGAACATGCAAAGTCGACAGTAGTGTAATACCCACTGTACCTTCCACACACCAATCCTCAGTCCTGAGGTGCCAGCAGTTTGCACACTGTGGGCCTATCACTGAGGTATGGCATGCAGGGCTCTTCTTGAGAGGAAGCGTACCAATCCAATTTTGCAGACTTTGGGGGGAAGAAAAAGGACTGAGCAAACATGAAAGGTAGGGAAGAAAATCCTGGCTGAGACCCCACGTGTCTGATTTGACGTCCAGGCAGCTGACAAACAATTAGACCCTCCATAACTAGCGTTCAGAACCAGGCTCGCCCCGGGATTAGGCCACAAATGAGCCACACATCACGGCTTATGTCTTCTAAATGGAAGGAGTGTGCGTGGAGGCAGGGTGTTACATGTGTTGTACACAGTGAGAAAGTGAGTTTGGTGTGTAGGTGTGTGTGGGTTGTGTGACATTTAGCAGATTGGTGTTATTATCTGTGTCTGCCCTTACTATATCTTCAACACCTCTCGGAAGAAATTTGTGTTTCCGTGTGCAGGCCCGCTCATTCATGTGCATGTTTTGATGCAGGTGCGCACTGATGTTACACAGATCTGCATATTACTCTGAACACGTGCATGTGCGTGTGACTGCTCTTAACTGCTGTGTTATTGCCGGTTCTTCCGTTGTGTGTATGTTTGACATTTCATAATTGCATCATTACTCGCTCAGTCTCCTCCTGCAAGAAGTGGGTGCATTGCAATTTGCAACACATGCTACGAGCAGACAGACACTTGCCCTTGATTATGGACCTGGGTGGAATGGCTTCCTCATCAGGCTGTCTTGATTCACCCCAGCATGTGGGGAGACACATGCTGCTGTGGGTGAATCTAATTGATTGGATGGCACCCAATTCCCAGGTCCAAGTCTCCTCAGGCAGCCAGAGTGAATCCGTCCAAGTGAAGGATGAGCTTAGGCGTTGGTCGCTCCCCTAATAGATTGGCATGGGCTTCCTCCCATATGCCTCTGGTATCACCCACAGACATCTCCGGGTGCAAGTTGGCCAAGCCACGGGGCACAAAGTGACACCGCCTGCATCTTCACTGATTAGAAATGTGAGAACAGGCTGAAGAAATGAGACACATCCTGCACCAAACTCCACATCCAATTTTATCGTGATTACATTTTCACTACTAAAGTTTACCCCTCCCCTGTCTTCTCCGGATGGATTATTAAAAGGCATAATGTTGAAAGTGGGATAAAAAAAATGTTGGGGTTTGCTGAGTTTGGCCTTTTTACAACAAAATTCTTGTTCCAACAGGTCAAGCTCCCCTCTCTCGGAAAACACGAGTGCCATTTCAAAGCTTATTGGATGAAAGTCTCATTTGCCCTTGGCTGCCAAAGATGACGTTGCCATGGAAACAGCTTCTACTGTTATCAATCATTGACTGTCTGGCAGGTAAACCACCTTTTTATATGAGTAATGATTCTTTCACGTTTGGACATTTACAGTTGCGAGATGATAGCTGAAGAGCCGAAAATCATGTCAGTGTCAGAGATGATAGGATGGACCCCGGTTTAAAGGAATACTCCTTAGTATTGACTTCCATTCACAACACGGACACAATACTCTCAATCTTCCTCCACTCCACCCTGTGATTGTAACCTACTGGAGAGTCATTTGCAGTGTTTTCCTTGTCTTTTATACTTTACCCTTGGCATTTAGTAGAACAGTTAAGTAACACAACACACAGAGCAAAGGCTACCACTTCTGTTACTTGAAGAAATGTATGTGTTAATAATAGCTCCTCTAGATTCACAACAAATTGGTTGTTTTTTTAAATATAAACTTATTTGCCAATGAATGATGAAATATTTTTTTCCCTTCTTGTATCATATGAAAGTACAATTGTATTGTGAAGTGTCAGGAATGGTGCAGGGGTACATTCTGTTCATTTTGTTCTGTTTATTTGTTCTATAATGTCAGTCATTTCCCATTTTGAAAGGCGCTCCCTATTAGACCTGAATACCCTTCTATCACAATGACACTTATTTTTTCACTTTTTGTCATTATACTCAGACTGTTACTGTTTCTTGGACAGATTGTCTGGACAGTGGATCATACCATGGTCCAAGATGGCGGATGGAGCCAGGTGACTTGTTCATTCCTGTCGACTCCATAGAAGAAGAAGCTACTCTGACCTGTGATGCTAAAGGAATACCACCTCCTCAGTACAGGTAAGATGCGGCTCATTATTTGAAGTTTTCAAAAACAAATCTGTCAGTTTGTGTTTACTGTGATTATTACAGGCCCAGTGTGGAGCATTGAGGAGGCTCTAATGGCAGAAATGGAATATAATATTCAGAGGTATCATTAGTGAACAATCATTTGACAATAAGAACTGCTATGTTTTTGTTACCTTAGAATGAGCCGTTATTATATACAGAACCGCCATGTTTCTACTAGGTAGCAAGTTTCATGTCCACCATAGTTTCTCATGCACACGCTTGGAATGATAGGGTGTAATCCACAACTACAATGCTGGATGCCACTAAATACACACTGGGCTTTAAAGTATAAATTAACAAATCAATAATCTGAAAACTGGATTTTAAAAATACCATTTGCAGTACAAAAACTAGTTTAGTAAGAAGTAATGATCACCATTTATTGCTTCTTTTGTGAGAATTTAGAGAGACTCTTAATCAGCAGCTAACGTGCACTTTCCCCTTATTCTTCTCTTCACTTTCATCACTGAAAGCATTTTCTGAGTTGTCAATGTCAAAAGAGGACCTTGCTTAATGTTAAGTACTGTGATCTGTGCAGGAAACATAATTTGGGGTCTGTGGGGTGTAAAAATCTGTTGAAAACTACCAGTTTAGAGGAGAATTTGAAATAGTCTTTGGTGCAAAGCATAACAAATCTTTAAAACCCCCAAAGTATATATAGATATAGATATATTCTTTATGCAACTGTCAACCTGGCCACTTTATGTAAAGCACATTTCAGTAATTTACAGTACTGTAGAGATATAAATATACACATATATACACATTATGGTTTTACTGATTCCTATTGACTAACACACCTCCAATCTGGCTCTTGTTTTGCCAGATATTATCTTAGTGACACATGTAGCATCTCAATGCATCTTAAATCTCCCTTTATAAAAAAAAAAAATACCATGAGACAGTTGCAGGTTACTAGACACCAGTTGGCACCAACAGGCATTGATTACAAGTGTCTTTGGTGTTCAGCAGTGGATTACTGCAGCACAGACAAACTGAATGATAGTGGTGTGGAGTATGTATGCTCATTATTTCAGGCTTTTCACATTCCTTGCCTAAGACCCGGTATTTCTATGTACTGATTAAAGGTGAGATGAGCATGTTTAACGTGGTGTCTTGTCAAGCTGGCTGTGCTAGGCTCTACATGCCCTCAGCACTTCTCTGGCTCCTCTCTTGAAGTGTAAATGGGATCATACTGCTCCCTCCCCCTTTCCTCTCTTTTCTTCCTTCCCCTTTCCTCTGCCAGTCCTGTCACTCACAAAGAGATGAGACATTCATCGTATGCACACTGTAGCGGCATTAAAAACTCACGGGAGAAAGGCACATCTTGTGTAGAAAAGCATCTTCTCCATGGCGGGTCATAAAAGCGATGCAGTGTTAAAGATCTAAACAGAAGGTGACTTGTCTAACCTTTTCCCGACCTCAGGTCTGAGGCCTGTGGCTCTGGACCGCAGGATCATCTGAAATACTCAAGCTTCTCCGTGGTTAGATGGTCAGGCGACATGTGTTTACAAAATGAGTTTCAAGCTGAGTAATTCAGTTTTGGAGTTGCTATTCAATCACCTGCCGAATGTTCAGGGCACCACTGAACAGCAGAGGCACTTCAGAGCAGGTCAAAGAGAGGTGAAGATGGTGACTCAGGGATAAAAAGCTGAATGCATATCAGTGAACACAAACACCTAAACACACACAGGCACGTATCTCTAGCCGGTGCAATCCTTAAGGTATTTATTGCGGCCTCGCGTGCTGTTTTGCCCGAAGCAGTATTGTTAATTTCAATACATGCATAAACGCAGCTATCAGTTATAAGTGTCTAGAATATGGCAGCAAGCCCTCATCAACATTCAATGCTTTGGATGTATTCTTTAAGAAATAATTCTGAAAGCTTGACTCTAAAGCGTTTGGAAAGTTGCCCATTATGGCCTCCATGTCTTGGATTTCCTCTTAAGGAAAGCAGAACAGAAAAATGTGGCTGAAGGAAAAAGAAATATTTTCTGTGCTTTCAGAAAAATGATGGAACATTCTTGAAAAGTGCTCCGTCCTTGAACCCGTCCACGCTCCGCTTTTGAATAGCAGTTAAAAAGTGTTGTGGTGGCAGACAAAGACAGTCTTTTCTTGCTGAATAATAGGACTTGTTTGAATCAATGAATTAACCTCATGTTTTCAAGAGTTCTTTTAGGGGTTTCATTTATTTGATAGTGGAATCTGAACCTGCTATGCAAAGTTTTTTCTTTTTTAATTCCTGTGCCTGCTAAGTGTGGGATAGATGTAATGGAAGGTGAAAAGGAGCATAAAAGGCATCTTTTGTTACATCAGCCCACTGTTACCTCTTGCCAAGTGATAATGTTTTGTTCCTAATGAGAAGTCAAAGGTGGAATAATGTCACATTATGTAAATATAATGTGACAGAGAAGAGGTGATTATGGTTAAGACTGATGATAATATCTAGGATGGCTTCTAAAACCTTTATCTTCTGCTTCCTTTAAATAGCAGAGGACAGCTTTGTGTATGATACTCTAAGATTAAACTTTAATGATCCCTGTGGGGAAAATGGGATAGCTGCGGCAGCAAATAGTCATAGAGCCAAATAAAGAAAAATAGAATGAAAACAGAAAAATACAATATAAATAAGACATTTGCATAAAACACATAACCAATAACACTATAACATGTAATGTAAACAAATGCCTTAGTCATATGGACATTGCAGCATTATTCGCTATTAGATTACAGGCCCAGGAAATATGCAGCAAACATGAGACATATGCATAATATGATACTAGGAAGCATTTATGAAACATACTAAACTTGCAATTTGTGAAAATGTCAGTTGACAAGAAGTTAGGAGGGTAAAGAAAACAAAAATGTGACTAAGACTACAAAGGCCTTTTTTAAAGTTTTTCTTTATGACTTTTGTCAGGAAAGTTTGGGAACTGCAGGAGAAGAATTAATGACTAAAACCACAACTGTAAAGTTAATTCTGTTCATGCTTCGAGCCTGTGAATTCCTCGGCACCAGCACAAATATACAGTAAATTATTCTTACTTCGAGTGACTTACTACAGTGAGTTGTGTTCTCAGCTCACCTCCTGTCAGACCACCTTGGTTGGTAGAAAGAAATGGACGGTGCGTTTTGCCAGGGACTGATGGTGTCTTTGCCCCCACAGATGGTCATTGAATGGGACTCTCATAAATCTGGGCCTGGATCGCCGGCGGCGTCTGTCTGGGGGCAACCTCATTATAAGCAGTCTGGACCGCTACCAGGATGTGGGGATGTACCAGTGTATGGCGTACAACACTGTAGGAGCTATCCTCAGCAGGAGGGCAAGTCTGCAGTTTGCCTGTAAGTTGTAGTCAGTTCTTTGTCACTTTTGTTTTACTAAGAAATGGCATGGAAGTGTAACTGCACTTAGCAAATAATGCAGACGCACAGCAAACTGGGTGGGCTATATTTGCAATATTTATCAGAGTGCTGCGATGTTGGTGTGAAAGTACATTAAATGGGAGCGAGGCTGAGTGTGACGACTGTTTACTTATGCTCATACATGCAAACTTAGACTTTTTGTTGCTTAGCTCGGTCAAAAGTCATTGGTGTTTTTTCGGATGTACTCTGGGGCAAAGTAGTCAACTAAATTGCTTAAGTAGTGTGCGGATGTGAAAGGACTAAAGCCTGAAGAAACACAAATGTATTTTGACTAGAGCATAATATACCTGTACTAAACTGCATTGCCACAACATGTTTTAGTTAGACTGTATACAAAACTCTTGAATTCTTATTGAAACCTTGAAGCAACAGATAAAGAAACAAATAACGACTATGTTTGTACTGGTAGTTAAGGCTTCTATTCATGCACATCACAACAACGGCATCTTTTCACACCTCCTCTCTTCTCTTGGTGGTATCTGGCCACGTAGATATTTTTGGTTGTGTCTGAAAAGCTTTTAAGATAAGAAAATTGAATAATGACATTTAATGAACACACCAACAATGACTCTTTCCAGAAGTAGTGTCCTGGTTACACTCAATAATCCCTTTCACTATTACGCACCTGAATTCTATCTCTCAGCATTATTTGGATGTGAAGCTGTAAGTATAATAATACTTGTTTAACCTGCTATAGCTTCAGTTAGAACAACCAACCACATCACATGGTGTTATTAAGTATTTATTTGAAATACTTTGTATTAAAAATACTGTTTTTAACTTATTCTTGTTATGTTATTCTCCTGTTTTGGGATGCAGTCCATCCCATCATGCAATGCTCATGTGGTTACAGAGCTTTCATAGATGTGTACACGACTGGAGTCATAGCCTGTTTTTTGTCTAGTTCCCAAGTCATAAAATTTATATCTAACATCTAATTTAGGCCGTGGGTACAAACTTCTGCACTGGAATTCTACATATGAGCTCTTCTCTGTCTCGCCCTGCCTCTATCTCTCTCTCAGGCATTGCAGAAGTGCAATTCTCATGACGATTTCCTTATGGGCTCATGTCAGTGTCTTGCTGAAAGCTTTTACTCAGCCCTGTTCCTCTCTGATATGTGAGATCCTGAGGTGATCTTTCTTTTCATTTCTTTTCCCCCCTCAGACTTAGATCATTTCAAAGTCCACACCAGAAGCGCAGTGTCAGTCCGAGAGGGACAAGGAGTGGTGCTGCTTTGTGGGACGCCCACTTCCTCAGGAGGTAAACTCTCTGGCCTTCTCTCGCAGTTATTTAAAGTTCTAGTGAGGTGCTTGAACAAGATAAAAGTAAAATCTTGCCATTATTGATTAGCCTTTTTTATAATCACATTTAATATCACGTATATGGTACCCATGATCTGCGTCTTTTTTACATTTCCAGACCTTACGTATGCATGGGTCTTCAATGAGTACCCGTACTTTGTTCAACAAGACAATCGGCGTTTCGTCTCCCAGCAGACAGGAAACCTTTACATTGCCAAGGTGGAGCCCTCTGACGTGGGTAACTACACTTGCGTAGTGATGAACAGCATCACGAAGGGCAAAGTTCATAGCTCACCCACGTCTCTGATCCTCAGGACAGATGGTAAGACCGCAGCTCATGGCCATGATGTGACAAGTATGCCTTTCAGCCATGTATTCAGGACCTTTTCTTTTAAGGTTGCTTTAATCAACATACTAGAATGAGTGTTCTTTGTCCTCTTGTCGTGCCTCACCGTAGTTGAATCACTGAGTGCTAATGCCTGTGAGTAAATAGTTGCTCCTCAATGTAGGCCAGCAAACAAAGCACCCAAATCTCTTCTTTGCTGACTTGGCTTTCTTATAATTCGCATTCCCTTTAAAAGCTTTCCCTGTGCTTTCACATGAATTCTCGGACAGTTCACAGTGGCCTGTTGTTCTTTTCTCTGTTACGCTTTCATGGAAAGATTGAATAAAGATTGCCTTCGGGAATGAATTAAACATAAGCCATACGTCACTGGACCATTACATTGAGTGTTCTGGTGGCTCAACCAGTTAGTTTCCACTCAGTGTACTGTACATGTAACTGCATAAATTTAAATCCTATCGTATCACTTTCTGATCCTGGTCTCTTCCCTGAATACTGATATTAATACTAAAATACCAAAGGTTGGGGACTGCCCACTCAAGCTTTGGAATAATAGATAAACAGCCAGACTAGCTAAAAAAAGAAGATTTCCTATATACTCTGTCTATTCCAGAAGAAGAGATTTAAATTATTCCTTGCTGGTATTCCACTGTACTCCGGCGACTGCACACTTAAGTGATGTACTACTTTGAGTTTACCCATGAGAGAATGTTTGCTCATGTGTCTTTTATTTCTCCTCTGTTAGTTTTACAGTGCTATTGTTTGGTCCATAATGCATGCCATATTGCTTGTAAGTCATGAATAATGGAAGACTGAGCAAGTTCCTGTGCTTGCTCCTCATAGGAGTGATGGGAGAATACGAGCCGAAAATAGAAGTTAATTTCCCAGACAATGTACCCGCTGCAAAAGGATCAACAGTTACGCTGGAGTGTTTCGCCCTTGGGAAGTAAGCTGGATTCCTTGAAGCATGTTTTCAATCTTGTGCTGTCTTTCATTCCAGATGAGGAACCTTCGGATTTCTATATAGTAAAGTTACTGTTGCAATTACATTTCTTAGAGTGTGGCATCAAGCCATGATTGTTGTTGGTTTGAGTTAACTATAAGCCATTCATCCGTAAAAAAAATAAATAATACAGTGAATAGGCTTTAAGCTCCATCAAACACTTTATTGCAGGATTATTATAGACACCTGCAACAATCTAAAAAATGTCAAAGGAACTTGAGTCATGACTTTCTGCTGAGGGTTTACTTCATCTGTCTCATCCAGCCCAGTCCCAGAGATCACCTGGAAGAGGGCTAACGGCGTCCCCTTCCCCAGCAAAGTCAAAATGAAGTACTCGAATGCCGTGCTGGAGATCCCCAGCTTCCAGCAGGATGATACAGGCGGATACGAATGCGTGGCTGAGAACAAGATGGGCAAGAACACAGCCACTGGTCGTCTGGCCTTCTATGGTACTTTTATGCCTCTATATGACCTATATAAGCAAACGAGACCATCAGCGAGAAGATATATAGGCTATTTCTATATATTTATTCTTAATCACTGCCACAAGGTCCAATTTATGGCACAAAGAGCTGATTTTTATATTTTCCCTTGCAAAGTTTTGCAGTGAGTAGTACGTAGCCAATTAGAGATCTTTTCTTATTTATTTTGTGGCTACGGCTGATACTGGGGAAGGATCAGCAAAGAGAAAGGGCATTAGTGATAGAGCACCAGCGAAAACATGATGGTATGTAACATGTGTATGCCTACAGCTGTTAGTCTGCACTTTAGCATATAATGCAAATAGCTGTGTACATGATTCTGTTCTATTCTATGTTATCCAAGCTATATCTTGCTGTTGGCTTATTATTATGAAGACATAACATGACTAGGGGATATTGATAACTTTAGCTTTTTCAACAAAATAACCCTTAACAGCAACCAAACCTGTTAGTTGTAGGCTTATATGGAACCTAGGTGCATGAATGAAGTTAATTTTGTTATTAATCGTACATAGCCACAAGTAGATACATTATCTCATTGCTATGCATCCTGCAAACAGCTGTGTTTGAAAAAGAAAAATGGTATTAAAAATAAGTTGCATCTTTCTTTCGCTCTCTTCCAAAACCGGATTAGGATCTTTACGACAGAACGCTACCACTTTTTTCCACAGGGGCCGCAACACAAAATAAATGTTCCTTGTAGTAACTCTAATTCTGTTTGTGTGTAACATCAAGCATTGGTTTAAGTGGTTAAGAATCTTTATTTGGTAATATAATAATACTAATTTCAAGAGCTATATTGTCCCATACACAGCCTTCTTTTTCTCCAAATAAAAAGCACTCTTGGTTTTAATTTTACTGCAATTTCTTTTACATGTTTGGGTTCTTGGCTCACTTCAGCCGTGAATTTTTGTGAGAGAGGGAAAATGACACTTGTGAAATTGGAGTTGACGGTATGTACAGTGCCTGCGAAGTGAGCTATGCTTATTATGGGCACAATACTCTACCCATGAAAAATTCCTGAAAAGCTGTAAATATGTAAGAGGTAAGATGCAGGGTGAGCTGTGTGCTGCATGGGAAACGCACAGGGATGATGTTTATTATACACAGAATTTAGGTGACAGGTTGAGGTGAGCGGTGATGTCGGGTGCACTTCAGCCGTCATGAGAGCTTCCTGCTTTGTGGCGCAGTCTTTGGTGCTAATCTTGAGTTGCCACTGGCTGCTAACATATTTAAGTGATGAAACTGAGTGATACTCTACATTCACTCTTCTCTCTTCTATCATCTTTTAACACGAACCCATTCTCCAAACGTTTTTTTTTCTTCTAAGATGTCTACTTATTTGAGCTGTCAATCAGCGCCTTGCTTTCCTTTGAACTTATTTTTGTTGCGCCATATTTAATGAGATCATTCTGCTCCTTCAAAATCTGTCCTCCTGCTCCCTGGCAGATATTTCACTCGGGTGTATTTCTGTTCCCCGCAGCCAAGCCTCAGTGGATTCAGGCCATGAAGGACACGGCCCTGGCCATAGAGGAGAGACTGTACTGGGAGTGCCGGGCCAATGGAAAGCCGAAACCCTCTTACACGTGGCTGAAAAATGGCCAGCAGCTACTCTCAGAGGTGAATTACTGCCTGTCTCCTGCTACCTACCAATATTTCATTTTAAAGACTTAATCTTCAGCTTCAGCTCATCTTTTCATTTTAGAGAGCCTGGCGTCTAACACACTGCTGTTTTTCCAAGTGTAATTTAGAGTGAGATGAGAGGAGAGTGTAAACATCTTGCTGAGGTGTGCCAGTGATGAGACATGGATGTAACTGTCTCTTATTCTGTTCTACCTTGGCAGATTACACAGTCTTAGAGAGTGGATCAGTGTAGTCCCTGGGAAATTGCTCCATTTCAATGGAGTCACTAGTTGTTTTTCATTATTCATGGTGCATGTTTAAGCTTCTCCAGATTTAGGGACAATGGGCCTAATCTTCTGTGAAATATACGGTATATACCAGCACACCTTACTCCAGACCACCAGAGAAATTGTATGTATTTTGAGAGCTAGAACTTTAAACTTGATTTTCTTTCATTTAATAATGCTCAGGGCAAAGCTTCTTCTTTTTAAGTTATACTGCAAATATAACTTGTCTGTTGTTATTATTAAAAAGACATTTTGTAAAGGTCATTCATTAATTTGATTTCAAGAATTTAGAATATGATTGGCATTTGGACCACTAAAGGTGCACTATTATCTAGTTTTCATGATTTCAGATGTACAGCATGTGACTGTTGTGTGTACATACCTTTATTAAAATGATATTGAGAATCAATGTGAGAGCTTCATCCTCACAGGCAGAAACAGAAACAATTGAAGATTGGACTGATGCGTTTAGTTCTATGGATTATGTAATACAATAACCTCAGACAAAAATCTGAATCATTCCTAAAAAATGTTTGATGATGCGTTTATATGGGAACAAATTGAACTTTTATGACAGGCTAATAATGAGTTGAGCCGCACAGACACAGATTTTGCAAGCTTACCTTTAAATGCAGGATATTGGTCCTGAAACCATCCATTTAGAAACCGTTTCAGGACCAACTGGTTTACATGGTGGTGTGAACAAGCATAGTTAGAAAACAAAAATGTAGTTTGTTCTCTGGCTCTGATTCATTCTCTGCAACATAATCCTGATTTGATCTGTGCCCATTGACAATGCCTCTAACCCAATCCAATGCTTATTGAGCTTTGCCAGAGCACGCTGAGCAAAGCAAAAGCTACCTTTAAGTCTTCGGCCATAATTGCTTTCTTTCATCCCTTTCTTCACAGGACAGAATCCATGTGGAGGATGGAGTCCTGTCAGTGTCAGCGCTGACACTATCTGACGCCGGCATGTACCAGTGTGTGGCTGAGAATAAACACGGCGTCATATATTTTGCTGCTGAACTAATGGTTTTAGGTAGGCATTTATCTCTCGATTAAATCATTGTTGCCAAAGAATCTTAAAGGTCAACTTACTGTCATTCTTAAAGGTTGTCTGGATTAGCGAATAATGGGGTCAGTGAGGGTGGTTTTGTGGGGCCAAACACATTTAAAAAATAATTTTTCCCATGGTGATATCCTAATTTACTTTGATATTATGGTGAGGATGGGGTGATGGTTACAGAATTCCCAGTTGAACAGTAAAGATCTTTTGTGGAAAAAGCAATTAAAAGGACTTTTTTAAATCCATTGTATACGTAGAAAATTTTATTAAGAAAGTGATTTGATTTTATATTTATTTGATTCCTGTTACAAATGTTTAAAATGTCTGTCTCCATTACTTTACCATGTGATGATTTCCACAGATCAAACTAAAGCATGCTTCAGATTGCTGCAGTCTTCTACTAAAGTCAGTTTACTGTTTCCCATCAGCCTCTCCCCCAGACTTCACAGGGAATGTCCTCAGAGCTTTGCTCAAAGCCAAGGCAGGAACTACAGTGACTTTAGAGTGTAAACCCCAGGCCTATCCCATCGCCAGCATTTTATGGAAGAAAGGAAACCTGCCTATCCACACCAATGACAGGTAATGACTGAACTGAAAGTGGCTGCACGTGTTCTGAAAATGCTTTTATGATGGCATAGCAAGAGACTGATGGCTGTTCAAAGTAGTGATAGTAATGCACGCACATATCCAATTCAGTATTTTCTCTGTGTAGAGAGCAGGTGCATTATTCATCCCACCTGCGCCCCTTTTCAGGCCTTGTTTGGTCTAATTGATCAATATTCACTGCACATATACGGACTGCTTAACTCCTCGATGTCCATGATCATGCAGAACATTGACATGTAGACAGATCCAGAATCAGGCTTTAACAAATTATTGGTTGCTTTGGCAAGTTAGATTGTAAACTGCCGTCTCTGTTTGTACTGTCCTATAGGATCACACTCTCTCCAGATGGAACACTGAGGCTCGCCAATGTGAGCAAATCTGACGCAGGCAGCTATACATGCTTCGCTCGGAATAGATTTGGCATGTCGAGTACAACGGGAAGGCTCCTCGTTACGGGTAAGCTCCGCTGTTAAATAGCAGAATGTTTGGGCGTTCCCACTTAGTAAGCAGAATTTATTGCTCAGTATAGATTAACACAGAAGAGAGCTGCTGTACCGCGAGGACTTGAGTCAATAACTGGTGGGCAGAAAACAGAAACAAACTTTAGGTTTTTTGCTCCGAGGAGTGCCTCAAAACTTTGGGTTGGCTCTCTCCTTGACGGGCTAAATATCTTTGCATAATTAAGTAACATCCTTAAATGTCTTTAGATTAATTTTTAAAAGTTATTTGTGTATATCCATTCATCTGAGCAAGGGTGTAATTGTTACCAATACTCAATCAGTCTTTCAGCTTCATTTTATTGAGTTGTTTTGTTAGGCTGCATTTTGCAGCGGCTGCAATAATGCACTTGGAAGGTGTTTGAGAAAATACTTGATCATTGTTTTCCTCAAAGCAGTTGAAACAACCAATTTACTGCAACAAATGAAAGTGCCCTGAGTGGAAGCAATGAAAGTGTTAGTGAGGAGGTGTTACAGATGCTGTTTTTGTTGAGTGCGTTTCCAGTAGAATGATAGTTGCGTGCTCTCTTATTGGTTTTATTAATCTGCTGAATGCTATTGTCTGACGCACTAAGTGCCAAGGCCAGTTGTGTTTTCAAATGACTGTTTTTCAAGGCCATAATGCAGTCAGTGACACAGAGCCATGACCCAGACATTGATTATAACTGGCTTAAGAACACAGGGGACACTTTTAAAAAAAATGTATCCCTTGACAGTCTGCATAAGGTAAGAGTGCAAATCCTCTCCCTTTGTGTTGTACCTTCTTTATTTGATTCTGGCAGATTCATTATCTTGACTTTTGAAGCACAGCCGACTTAGCCAAATGATTTGCTATTGTAGACTTTGAAGCAGTACCCCTCATTTTTGTTCTGGATGCACAGAGAAGCCCATTACATAAAGTTTTATCTGATCCATAGTGTATTGTAATTGCTATCAGGATTTCAGAAGATTATTCTAGCAGTGTCAGCCTGGAGTATTAGGCCATTTTAGTAGTGGCAGGCTTCATGTTATCACATTATTCGACTGAGACTTTCATGAGACCTTCCTTTATATAGATAATACTGCTCTGTCTGTGACTTAGTGTATTACAGAGCATGCTCTAGTGTGTCTCTATTTTAGAAAATCAACAAAGCACTGCTCATCTCGTTGCAAAGAAAAGTCTGTGCGAGATTGGCAGCCGCCCAGGTCAGACATGACTCCTGCTTGCAATATATATTTATTTTTTTCTGGGGCAGATCCAACCAGAATCACCCAGGGGCCAGCGGACATGGAGATCATTGTGGGCGAGAGCATCGTGTTACCCTGTCAGGTCGCCAGTGACCCCGTCCTTGACGTTTCTTTCTCCTGGGCCTTCAACGGACAGCTCATCGCCAAGGGAGACGGTCACTTTGAGCTAGTGGGTGGGGTGAGTGACCCGCAGTCATACTTCTTCAGAACGTGCGAATGGGCAGTTGGCACCTCTTCCCATCTTGCTTCGCTTCATCCCTGCCATTAGTTAAAAGAGACAGCTTGTGGTTTGACATCATGGACAGATTCACTGTGGCTAGTTTTGCTGCAATGGGTGTGAAACCATCCATTTCGCAATTCTAAAAGTCTCCTCGGAGGCACGATAAGCTGCAGGAATGTGAAACTCTTTGGAAAGAAGCGCCATTAGATCCTTCAACCCCCTCTAAGCTTCCAATTGTACTGTTGTGAATGGAAACATGGCGGTTGCTATGTCAAAGTACACTTCCTACATAAAATTCATCATGTAGGTAATGCGTTAGTTGCTCAGCCATTGTGACAGGTTGTCATATTTTTGAGTACACTACTGGAGCTCAGCCTTCTATAGTAATCTATTTTTTAAGACTTTTGGCTGGTCTTGAATTCTTTTCAAATCCTACTCTGACATAGCCTGCTGCACAGCTCCTTATAACAGAAAGGGGATACACATCATTAGAGGTGTCTTTTAAAGGAATGAAAGCATGGCAGAGCCCCAAATGACAAAACACTTTCAGAACACCCTTGCACCCTTCCAGATTAACCATTCTTCCTGTGTGTGTTTGACTGACAATGTTCTTATCTGAAAAGAGACTCCTTCCCCAGAAATGCAAGAATGTCCCCAGACCAAAGAGATTATCAACTTAACTTTGCCGCTTCAAGGAATTTAATTTCCATAATTAAACCGCGTTGGCTCTACTGCCACATTTCCCTGCCAATGCCAAGAGAACGATTTCACCACTAATTTACCATTTGCTGCTTACGGGTGTTCTCTCAGATGAGAATCTAGAGGGCCTTTTCCTCCTCTCCAATCAAGCAAAAACTGACTGAACTCAGTAGTAACAGATTATTATTTGTGTATTTCCTCGCAACAGGTCTTGAAGGTCATGGCAATGACCTCTGCAAAAAGAAAGTGAAATAGCCGAGACCTTGTCAAACACAAAAACTCTATTTGCTGCATACAATTTTTGTGAATTCTGGCCTTGATCCTGTTCACCTGAGCTCATATTGGACAGGAGAGTGTGACTAAGACGTTCTGTCATATTCAAAAAAAAATTTATTATGTTTGCCTTTATGGTTTTGACTGCAAGAACTGTCAAGAGATCTGTGAAAACTATCTTTGGTGTAAAACATCTTTTTAAAAACGGGCCTTATTTTCCTCCGCAGAGCTCTGGCTAAATAACTGCAGGATCTGCAAGCATTTACTGCACCTTATATATGCTTCACTACATTCTTTAATAAGCTGTCACAAGGTCTGTTATCTTTCATGCTACATAAAGCTTTCTTTCCTCCTTTTTAGAGAACAGCAGGAGATCTGATGATCAGGAACATTCAGCTTTACCATGCTGGCAAATATATCTGTGTGGTGGACACGGACGTTGAGAGCCTGTCAGCCGTGGCTGTATTGATTGTGAAAGGTAAGAAAACCTTCTCTCGCTCTGCTCAGTCACTAATTAAAACAGGGCTTACAGCCAGGACTGTTTCTGGGTTGCTCTTTAAAAAAAAAGCGAAATTAAAAATCTAGACTTAAATATAATAGCAAATGGACTACACTTTTATAACGCTTTTCTACCTAAAAGGACAAAGTGCTTTCTAATTTGCCCCTCATTCACCCATTCACACACCTATGGCAGCAGAGCTGCCACACAAGGTGCTGGCCTGTCGGAAGCAATTTTGATTTCAATGTCTTACTCAAGGACACTCGCTACAATAGCTGTAAAGTAGGTGATAGATGTGGCCACAATAAAAAGATGACTGTATTCTGTACCGATTACCAAATAAAGCTGTGTTGCAAAAAAAATAAAGGTAAAAGAAAAAATTTGGAGACAATATATGGATGTGCTTTACTGAGCATATAAAGAATGCAGACTGTCAGGGTGTATAATGTTCATTTAGGCTTTTAAACTCAAATGGGTTTTGTTTCAGCCAGTGATTGCAGTGCCACCAAAATGCCCATATTCTCATGAAAATCATTCTGGATGTCATCAGAGAGCACACAGTTTTTATGCCCTGCTTATTTCTAGTAGCAGTTGCTTGATTACATCAAATAGAGGAGGCTTGCTTTCCTTTCATATTGCGCTTAGGGATGATTGTGAAAGTAGAGAACTTGACAAAACTGTGTTGAACTATAGGAATATCATGCTTTTATCTCTCTTTTGTAATAACCAATTTCCAATACTGTTGCAATGTACTTGACAGTGTAATGTTTAGACGCCTGTCAGTGCTCACTCATGCAGTATGTATAGCTCCAGAGAGGCACTACTGTCAAGAGCTACATCGCGCAGCACAAAATAGAGAAACTTTTTTGATGTGTTTCAGGGAGTTTGTATTGCATGCAGAGTGAGAGGAGGGATGTTCCTGGCTTTGATCAATACACCAAATAGGCCAGCAAATTGACTCTACGCGTATACGTTAAATGTCAGATGAAGTGAGGCATGATTTTAGTGTCAAGATTTGAAATGGTTTGGATCCATATGTTTATTCTGTAAGGATACCCACCAGTGATTCAGCTTGGCATGTTGAAAATCTTTTAGGCAAATCACATTAATAAGCGCTCCTTTCCAAATGACTGCAGACTAAGTGTAAATAAGGCTGTTTCTCAAGTAGAAGCAATATCAAGGCTATGGAAATGGATTGGCCCCTGTATTGACTGGAGAGAAACATGTCTCTGACTCAGATGCAGTGCATTATTTACACTTCCTGCTCACGGCAGCTGTCATAGATGCCTCATTGCTTGGATCGAATGGCTTCAAATGTTGGGCCACAAAGCATGAAGCTGAATAGAAAACCAGTCACGGAGTGCGAAGAATAACTGTACTCGCACAGCTGCAGACCTCTAACAAACACGTTGACTTCAATATTATTTTCCAATCTAGCCGCTGGCCAGTCATTATCCTTTCACCTGTTTATAAAACCCATTAAGGAAACAAGTAACTTTCAATCACTGTGTCAATAACGCCACACTAAGCACGTACAGTATATGAACCACCCAAGATACAAGCTGTCCACACGCAAATTACAAAGAAACATCACTTACCTCCAGAGGTATCTAGCCATGTAAGTGGTTTTGCATTTATTTGCCCCAGTTGTGACATATCCATCTCAGTATAATGGTCAATAATCAGTGGTGGACTGAGTCCTCAGATCCTTCTCCCAAAGTAGTCAGTGATTCTAATCCAAAAACAAACTTGTTGTGTTAATATAGAAGTCAGGCAGTAATCTGGCTTTTTCCATTATTATGTGATTTTATGCTGTACACGGCATGAGTCTGCAAACAGCAGGGCACAGTGAAAAGAGTTACCTCACTGAGAAGTTGGAGGTATTCAGCCTATTGCCTGCAGCTCTTAATCTAACAGTTCACTGTGGCTGCTCATTCTTGTTCCATTATTCCCTGAAATATTTCAAACTGGTCCGCTGTCAAAGAACAGCAAAAATCTTTTCTCGTTTTGCAGACGACAGACGATAACGGCCAGTGTCAATCTCAGTGACATCATCTTAACAATAAAAGTTAACTGCAAATATATAAATATTGCAATACCAGTCATACTCAATCACCACTGTGTTACATCATTTGGCGATTGGTAGTGACTTAACAGACATTTATTTAAATTAAAATCCTCAGCAAACTGTAGTTTGTATCAAAAGTAAAAAAAATCTTTCTGCAGTAAAGTCCCCTGTGAGTGACGTGTTTTATATATATATTAGATTGTTAATACTGATGCATGAATGTCTGTGTAAGCAGCATTTTACTGCTGTAGCTCATCAAGATGTACCACTTTATTTACAGTTTTGTGATGATTAACAGGGTAGAAAAGAAGAAAAAAACTGTTAGTCTACATTAGTTGTATTCATTTTTTATTTATTTGTTCCTTGCTTTGAGGTGAAATATTGGATAGTTGGATCTCAAACAGTTATTTAGATAAAACTATGTGAGAATTTCAAAGGGGAAGGGAACAACTCACAGACATCTGAATTATGAGAGGAGCCCAGAAGCCATTTTGTAAGGAGTCACAAGCAAAAAAGATTGGGAACCGCTGCTTCAATTTTCAAGTTTTAAAAGTAGTGGAGTAGAAGTAAAGTGTATCTCATACAGTACTTGAGTAAATTAACTTTTAATTTTTCACCACTGACAGAAACATATCTTTTTAGAAAAAGTGCCCATGTCCCTGTCTAGATAAACGACAGAACGATGATGTTTTCATTGGAACTACTTTCTATCAGACAAATTGTCCTGTGTTGTGTGTATTATCCAAAGCAATGGGGACACTGAATCTGGAAAGAGATGTTGCTGTTGGATTTTTTTGAAAATGTCATTTTTCAAAGCTGTGAGCGCCACAAAAAAATCCTTTCACAGCCATTTATTTTAGGGTGGGGGCAGAAAACTCAGACACGGATAGTTCTAAACCTTGACATATAAAATCCAAACTATCTGCATGGCAGTGTACTGCAAAATAACAGTGAGAAAACACTAGCTTCCCTCAGTGGCTGCATTTACATGTGCTAAAATAATGCAATTTTAATGTTAAGACAACAATGTGAATAATGTAGGACCCATTTAACTGTGATAATGACTGTGTCAGTGTCACTGTGTGATCGCAGCAACATACAACATCCATGATCACACTCGCAAGACACTGATTATTGGCCATAGACACATTAGTGCAATTGTGTATTGTATATCATTTTGCAGGGTATTATTTCTGATCTTGTCTTGCTCCACTCATCTGGCAGCACTGAAGGTCAGCGATAATAGCTCCTGACACAAAGACTCTTGAGTGATCATCTGGGTTCTTGTTTTTTACAATGACAATGGAAAATGTTTTAGATGCCACTCCATGATGCCTCACAAGCACTTCACTGGGTGGTGGTGGTTATGGGGAAGGTCATGTTATATGGATAACATCACGGTCATTAGCATTCAAACCACTTGGCGGGCACTCGTGCTTGTTTGACAATTGCATCATCATCATCATCATCATCATCATCATCATCATCCTGGTCAGCACAACACTGTACAAATGTGTTTTATCATTATTGTTCAGTCACTTTTACCACATACTGTTAATTTTTTTTCTCTTCTGACATGTTGACGTATATTACTATTTTGTTTAATATTAGGTTCCGACCAAAATAATATTACCGTGTCTAAGTATTCATAATACAGACAGATAATAATTTGCTCCGTGCCAAGTTCACAATAAAAGCCCAGACCGTCTGTCCATATTAATAACAGATTATTTAATCACCCTCAAGACACTGACAGCACCCTCTTGCCTCAGCCAATGAAATATAATTAAGTGGATAAGGAATTGATCCTTGATTGTGTGCTCCATTAATATGTATTAATGAGGCCAGTGTATTAAAGGTTTTTTTTGATCAAGAGCTGCTAATGAGTTTTACAAAGATCAATATCTCTAAAGCCAGGGCTTTAAGGCCAAATGTATGTGGGCAGCACGTTCAAGGCTTCTGTAAACAAGAAAATGTAGATCAGCAGTTATTTGTTAACATGGATGTCGAGTATAGTCTGATAAATATTTATGGATACATGCATTTACACATGTAGCACGTACACACATGCACGAACACAAAATCAGTTGTTTGTGTTTCCAAAACACTGACTGTTTATTAAAATAATCATTTAACGCTTTAATAATTAGAATATTTTGCTTCAGATTAGAAACCACTACAGAGCCGTTGAGTGTGAGCCAAGCTAGGGGCGTTATTATTCTGCGGTCTGTCTCACAGCTCTCTAGTGGTCGATTATTTTTGATGAGCCGACACGTTCATTAGGGCAGGAAACAGTAGATGAGGCTAAAGTAAAACATCATACCGCTTAATTGGTGGGATAATGAAAATAAATGATAAAAATCTGGTTCTTCGGCACTATGAGGTCCTTTTTCATCTTTTACCTTTTAATTTGGCTTCCTGCATCTACTCATGTATGCTGTTTCATCGATCAATTACCAGGAGGACCATGAAAGGGAAGGATTACAAGTTGGGTGAATATTGGAGGATAAATCTTGAATTCACTTTTAATTCCTTGTGAAGGGCATAACGTCTTCTCAAACCCAAAGCTTTCTAAAAATGTTTTTCTCTCGCTAACGTTAATTTCAAGATACGGAGGCTTTGAACTAAGCGTGATAATCTCTTGTAGCAATACAGTTTAGCTGGATGTGTTTTTTGTGCAAATATATGCTCGGTTCATGTTTTTTCTTGCAGTATGTGTGAGTACACACAGTTACATCCACATTCTGTAGTCTCGTCTGTGCCTCTGCATGTGCGAGTACCTCACACAGCGTCTGTTCCTGTGATTGAGCCAGGCCCCCCCAGCCCTCCAGACTCTGTGACGGTGGAGGAGGTGACAGACAGTACAGCCCAGCTGGCCTGGAGACCCGGCAGAGACAACGGCAGCCCCATCACCAATTACCTCATCCAGACCAGGACTCCCTTCACTGTGGGCTGGCAGAGGGTAAACACAGGTAGGCAGCGCTGGAAGATGAATTTTCATCTCATACCACATGTGATGTTATTCAGACGATTCGCGGATCCCCGCAGGGAAATTGTCTTACAGCTGGGAGGTCAGATTGTAGGGTCAGCTACCGAAGGCTCTGGAGATGTGAGGGATTCAGGTCCTTACTCAAGAGAACTAGAGGTCACCGTTGCTGCTCTTACATGATCTCATTTAAACCACTTTAATCACTTTTACAAAAGCAAAGCAAAATCCTTTTCATTTGCTTAAGATAAGTCAAGTCTGTTAGTAGTATAGACATCTTGATCTTGTTCGTATGGAGGTTGAATGTACATATTGCAGGTTGCATCTGCCAAATGAATGTAATATAGTGAAATTTGTATTTCATTTTATTAGTTTATTTAAAAGGGACAGTGGTCATTGATCAAAGTAAAAAAAAAACTGTAAATGAGCCACAGTTTGCCCAAAAGGTTCATTTTTATATTGTCCTTTGCTTTGCATTAAAGCTAGGGTAGGTTAAGTTGGAGAAACTAGCAAGAGACGGCTAGATTTTGAAATGATCCAATCAGAAATATCTCAACCCCTCCTTTCAGGTCTCCCTCCAAAGCCACTCCTCCAACACACATGAACACACAGTGCATCATAACCGTATCCAACTTCCTCATGTCTCATTCATACACGGTTATACATACTACATAGTTCAGGAAAAAAAAATAAACCAAATAATTTACCTGTCCCTCAGTTCTCACCATTGTAGAAAAGCCACACTGACCCTGGTTTGACACGTTTCTTTATCCAAACTTCTTGTTCATAGCCTTTTCTACTCCTGTGTTTCTTTTCTGGCTTGGTTTCAAACTGTTGAGGGCACAGATGGAACTGGAAATTTTGGCTGGTCTTCCTCTGCTGTTCTTGTACGACTAGTTCAGTAGCTTTAGCGATATCTGACTGGCTGGCAGGCAGGCAGTTGTGGAAGCTGTGGAGTTGGGGGGTGGGTGGGTGCAGAGTGCACGGTATGGCATGCCAGCCAGTCGACCAGAATTTTTCTGAGCATTTGATTTATTGATTTCTGTTGCTAAAAAGTATAAAAATACATATATATCTCATAAGATTCATATACACAACATAAAAGAATACACAAAATAGTACAGTGCACATCCACCAATAATGAATGCCACAAAATAACACACAGCAATTAGCTACAGTTCCTAGAAAACAAGAAGAAAAAGGTCATGTTAAAGCTGTTAGAATCAATATTTTTATGTTAACCAAGGATCAGAGTCGCTCATAATGATGAACCCAAAGATAATTATCACCTGACTCTGGAGTTCCCCTCAGCTCAACAAAGCTTTTTCATGTATTCCAGCTCATTGTTTTGGTTTTTCGGCTTGCGACTTTACTGTTTTGGTTCACTCTGACCACTCTCATTAGTATCGATTCAAGCTGCTGCTTTCAACAACAAAAAAAGACAAATAGCATACAGTGGATATGTTATTTGCCCTTGACCACAACAAGCTGGTGGGCCAAAACAGACAGATATTTCCAGAGGTAGCAGAGACCAAACCAACAAAGCTAAAAGGAGATAAAATATAGATTTAGATTCATCAAAGGGTCTGCAACACACATCCAAAGGATTTCTAATGTTGCTCCACATCTGCTGGATGTGTAAATAGACAAGTTCACCAAACAAACTGAGCCCCGAAGTAACCAAAGAAACTGCTTTGGCACCCACAGTGTTAGTATCAAAGGAGTCACTGTTGCAGACAGCAATGCTCACAGCTAAACCCTTTATGTTACCTTACCTTATCTTTGTCCCCTGCATTTCACCTATCCTTTTACTAGCCAAATTGCAGTTCCTTCTTATGATGTCATAGGGTATCTTGTAGGATCTTCACACTTGCATGTCAGTTTAAGAGTTTATTCTAAGATGCAAGGTAACACAAGGTAAGGAAGGCAGTTTTCTAGATTTGTGTAGCTCAGACCTTTAACAGTCTAGACTCAAACCAGTGCTCACCTTACATCCATCATAATGACACACATTTCATTCTTGTTTTAGTTTTATAAAACCAGTTTTTCCTTCTGTATCCACTGTATGTTTTCTGTTTTTTTTCCAGTCCCTGAGATAATCGACGGGAACACGCTGACAGCCACTGTGGTAGACCTCAATGCCTGGGTGGAGTATGAGTTTCGGGTTTTGGCCAAAAACAGTGTTGGCGTCGGAGAACCCAGCCCTGTGTCAGTCAAGACCAGGACAGAGGACGCAGGTACAGCCAATGTGATTCACTTTTCCCCCCTCAAATCATTCATCCTGCTCAGATAATAAATATCTTTTTGTACAATTTTCTAAAGCCTAAAGTTTTTCTCATATGGAGGTGTGAACAAGGTCTGTGTTGTGTTAGTTCCTGATGCAGCGCCAGGTGATGTGGGTGGAGGAGGAGGAAGCAGATCTGAACTGGTCATCACATGGGAGGTAAGTCATCAGTCTTATGTTCTAGTCTGTTATTCAAAGTGGCTGCAGTTCTTTTTTATCCTTGAGTGAGGTGCTTAGTATTTCTCAAAGCCCCTGCTCTGTTCGGCTTGTGGGTGTCATAAATTTTAGGTCAATTGAATTCTGGCGCTGAAGTTGCTGTAATTTCTTAGTTAAAGAGTCTGTGTGTAAGGCAGCGGCGATGTATACATAAGCAGAGCACTGAATCTGACAGTTATTGTCATTTATGAGGCTTTGATCTGTGGTGAATCGCTGTTCAGTCAAATCTGCAATGCTCAAATTGAGCGAAGAAGTAAATGGGTAGTTGAAAAATAATGCAGATATTGAAGTCATTAGACGGCTAAATCTCTCTGGTTATTTGATTTTTCTCATTTCATTAATATCATAAATACCTTTTCATTTATAAAGCTGCACAGACGTTCTGTAATGAGCTTAGATTTTTTTTTAAATGGCATTTTACTGCTCATTTCATTTCGTCAGGTGGGTCACAAATGTAATTTGTGGGTCATCCGCTCCTTTTGGCACCATGAGAGTGGGTGGAGATGTGTCAGCCCAGCCACGGGGTGAACGTGAGTGGTTTGTATATGTTTTAATATCACTATAGTTTTGTGTTTCACTCTCAGCCTGTCCCTGAAGAACTACAGAATGGTGAGAGCTTTGGTTACATCATTGCTTTCCGCGCCTTTGGAGAAGTTAGCTGGACTCACGTGGCCACCTCTGCCCCCGGTGCATCACGCTACGTATACCGCAACGACAGCATCGCGCCCTTCTCTCCGTTTCATGTCAAGGTGGGCACTTACAACAGCAAAGGACAGGGTCCCTTCAGCCCTGTGGTCACCATCTACTCTGCAGAGATAGGTAAGGCAATAGAGCGCGAGTGGGATTTTTTTAAAAGCTTTTTCTGTTTTTGAAAAAAGGACAAAGATCATGAAAGTGGTTTTGCAATAAAGAGACATGTATTTTCCTCTGTGAAATGGAGAGACATCCAGGAAAATAAATCCGCAGAAATCTTTTTACAAGTAAAAAAAAGAAAAAAAATTGCAACACATTTATCTAAGGATAGGCAGATTGCCTCCAAATATCACCACTCTTTTGAATGGCTATACCAATGTAAAAACCAGTTGGCATTTAGATCTATGCTACCTCTCAGCATGCAGAGAGGGGGTCAGTCTGTAGTGAGGTGTTGGTCTATTTACCAGCAGCACCTGTGTGTGATGATTCATCCAAGTAGAGATCAGCAAGAATGCCGCACAGTTATAAATGTAAAAATTGAAGAGATTTGTTCTGCTTGTCTCTGTGCTGTTGGAAGGAGGCAGCAATGCTCAGTCCCCTGTTATCTGTTTTCAGAGCCAAGTGGGATGCCAGCGGGAGTTTGGGCCAGAAGTGTCTCAGCCTCTGAGATTGAGGTGAATTGGCAGGCTCTCTCCTTCACCCCTGAAAGGGTTCTGGGCTATGAGGTACATTTTACCCTTTTAAATGGAAATAGAAATCACACACAACACAATTCAAATGCTTGTCATCACCCCTGTTGTACCTCAAAGCCATCACTTCCAAACTCTGCGTCACCATGGAAATGGCTGCTTCAGTTGGGTGACTGTTGGAGCCAAAATTAAACAGTTCTTTGTACCAACACGACAGGAAAACATGTCAGAGCGTTTTCAAGAGAACAAAAGAAAATTGCCTGTCCATATGCCTTTTCATGTTGCTGTCAGTTATGGGGTATCATGATACAGAGCTTCATGATAGTCTGCGCTGCAATGCTATACCAGACCTCATGTCAGAATACCAAGAAGTACCATCGTAACCGCACCACAGACTGTAAGATGATACTGAGCAGCAGCATGGGTATTGATCTTCAGTTATTGTTCACTAAGTAAAATATCAATATTAAACATTCACATTTTAAACCCCCCCCCAAAAAAGTAGATTGTATTCTATTTTACCTTCAAAAACTGGGACACCCTGATTGCTTCGCCTGCATACTTCAGACTGAATAATCAGGGGGATCAAAAGGCTTTAATGTCAGATGTTGTTGTCATTATTTTGCTAAATAAAATCAAAGTTGTTTCAGTATTTCCATCCGGGAAAGTAAGCTTTCATGCCATTTCATATCTTAGCTACCCCAGCATAATCAAGTCAGTCAGCTAACATTGAATAATGATGACAGAAAAGTAGAGATGGGTGGGGGATGGATGTTGTCTAAGGATCCTTTATTTTCAGTGTACACTGTAAAGGGTTGGAAGTAGTGATAACAAAGTCACTTATTTGATGATGATTTAAATGTAGAATTTTATGATATGTTTAAATGAAAACATTACAGATGAACTACGTCTGTAATGTTTGAATTTCAACGCACAAGAGAAGATTAAGATGTACCTTTATTGAGGAATTCATTCTTAGGAGAAATTCAAAATTGACATAGCAGCATAGGGGAATGTAGTGCAAAAAAAGAATACAGAAGTGGAGGTACAACAAGATATCACAAAATAAAATATTACAAAATATTATATTATATGACTATAATGAAAGTATATACAATATGCAATATGCAAGTAAGAATGGTGTGCAAATAATTGAGCATCTTGACTAAAAACTAAACTGTACATGTAGAAATTAAATATAAATAGGTCGTGCAAGTTTGTGCGTCGTAGGTTGGAGTTTAAACATATCCTGCTGGATTTTCATTAGTGGAAAAATCTATATTTCAAGTCGTATGATGCAACTTAGATTGATATATTGTAGTTGATTGATATATATTTTGATTGATTAATTTTTTTAATGCGTGAAGTGGTCCTAGATTCTGACATGTGAACATTTTCTGCTTTTCTGCTTTATATCATTGTAAATGAAATACCTTGTTTTTGAGTGCTGATTTTACAAAATAAGAGTTTTGATGGCTTTGGGGAATTATAATGGGAATTTCTTATCATTTATTTGTTATTATTTTTGGCATTATAATGATTAAATCATTCATTATTCTTTTTAAAAAATAACTAGATTGATAGATAATGAAAAGGATCATGAATGCCTTCGCTATTGTGTCACTCCTTCAGTAGTATCTGAACAATAGTGAAACATTCCTTGGAGTTGTAAAAGTGCATTAAAGGTCCAGTGTGTAACATTTATGAGAATCTTTTGGCAGTCTATTTCAATTTTGTATAATGATCTGAATATAAGAATCGTTGTGGTATTGTTACCTTAGAATGAGACGTTTTTATCTACAGATATCGTACAGGGTCACCTTCCATGGAGTTCGCCATGTTAAACCGCCATGTTTCTACAGTAGCCCAGCACGGAGAAAAAAAAAACAGGCTGTAGATGGGGCCGTTGCCGTTTTTTGCACGTTTTGCGGTCACCTTAGTTTGTCCTTCGCGTTTGTAAAAGGAGGGTGAAGCGAGTGAGTTGCAATCTGCTACTCCACTGCTAGATGCCACTAAAATCTACACGCTGGACATTTAACAAAGGCTATGTAATGTCTGATCAAATATCCTGTAAAAGAAAACTGTGATCTTTTGTAAGAGGATACACCCAGTGACAATCATTTATATAAAATATATCTATAAATGCTTTGTCGTGCTGTATGTGACAGAAAATGCATTCTACCAATCTACACATCTTGCTCCAATCCAAAGCCATATATCACGGTTAAAACCCAGATCACATGCTCTCCGTCTCAAACAGGTGGTTTACTGGGAAGATGACACTAAGCCGGAGACCATGGGAAAGGTTAGGGTGCCTTGGAACCAGACGTCTGTCACAGTGAGCGGCTTGGCAGGAAACACACAGTATTTCCTAACGGTCAGTGCTTTCAACACGGCAGGCACCGGCCCCTTCCTCCCTGCAATAAACGTCACCACAAAAAAGCCACGTAAGTTGCACCCGAGACGCCCTGCGGCTCAAGTGTTTGATTTTGCATCCACACTGATTATAATTCAAAGGTAAAAGGTCTATTCTTAGCAGGAAATGTTGAGGAGAAACACTAACTACTTCTAATCTCACTCTTGGAAGTTGTGTTATGAGAAATATGATCATTCTTGTATAATGATGTGACGGTAATATATTTCTGTGCTTACATATAGAAATGAATTAATTTGATATCATGCAGCACCAGCACAACCACCGCTGAATGTGGAATGGACCCTAATTGGCTCTCAGCTGTCTCTTTACTGGGAACCTGTGGTGGCAATGGAATCAGAGTCAGAAGTTACAGGCTACCAAGTGAGTTTTACATTGTCAGTATTCATAGTAGCATGTTTATTCCCATTATGTATCAGACTGAGTGAAAGCGTGGACCCTACATGTGCGGTGGCTCACTCTATTTCTGTCAGGCTATAAGAATGCATGTTTACTATGTGTCACCAACCTTGTTTCTCTCCGCCATTTCAGCTGTCATACAGGAGACAGAGACACAAAGAGGTAAACACACTCACAACAGCCAATTCAACGGTAGAGCTGACCCTCACTGAGGAAGAGGACGACTACATCATCCACATTCAGACGCTGAGCGAAGGAGGGCTGGGCCCGGCCTCGGATCCCATACGAGTCCACCAGCTAAGTAAGCTCGCTGTTGATGGGTTGTAGTGGTTATGTGGTTACAAATAGAAAGTTCAAGGAGTAATTTTAGTTTAGCTTCCTCTTGCGCAAAAAAATCACAATGACTGCAAGAAAAAGCAAAGAATAAAATGTCAACGTTTTCAGCTTTCAGCCGTAACACTGTAATATGCTGATGCCAGCGTGTTGTTGAGAAACACAACGGCATGGCAACATTTAAACTACATAAAAGTTCACCGGGACCTCAGTCTCTTACTTCCATTCGTTATTACTTACCCCCTCTTGTAAATTAAGTCACTTAGCGCTCCTTAAACCTGACAGGGACATTTTGTCCTCCGTTGACTCACCATTACTCGTGTCCCCAGCCACTCCCGTCGGCTCTCCCTGGCTGGTATTTTGCTGAAATATGCAGCACAATCCATCTCTGTCGCAGAGGTTGACTTCCTCTTTTACTAGGTGCTATTACTGTCCTGTGGGACTCCAGGGCGGCTCTTCTTCTGCTCTAAATGCTAATTTGCATTGTTGATATTCTGTGTTAAATCCCTGAAAACAGCAGTTGAGAGAGATAGAAATCCATGCTGGCTTTTTTTTTTAATTTCATTTGAAAAATAGACTTTTTTTTTCCTCCCAGTGATTCTTTGGATACTGGAAGAAAAAGATGGGGGCAAAACACATTAGCAGGCAGGCCAAACACAGTGCTGTGTCTACAGAAAGTAGTGGATCTGAAACATCAGATGTGGTTGAGGGGGTTTCTTGTGCATCAACAATACATATTTTATACAGGAAAGGGTTTTATATGGATATTATGTCATTACAGGAAAACATAGTCAGTGATTCATAAGAGTTAATTGACTCACTTAAATCACAGCAGTCGGAAACCAGGATATAACTTAGTTTTTACCACATTTCACAAACCCCTCTGAAACTTGTCTGTTTTGAAAATCGATCTAACTTTCAGTTGGCAAATATGTTTTCGGTTAAAAAACCTTAAGATAACCTCAACTACTGCAGCATGGTCTGAATTTCTGGGTTAAATCAAGCATTTTTAGGCCCTTAAGCTTAACCTTTTTTGTTAAATCTTTGTTTAATTGTTAGTATTTCCATCAAACCTTATTCTTTTATGTAAATGTAAATGTGTGTAAATCTTTTACTGTTGTCATACTTATACTGAAAGTAGTGTGACCAATATTGTAGTATGTTGTGTTGTACATTTTAAATTAAATAAGATCAAGGATATCTTTATTATGAAGGGCAATTTGTTGTACAGGCTGCTGTAACTACATAACCACATAACCATCAGACAAGAACAAATGAAAAATAAACAATAAATACAATCCAAAGATCACATAAAGTTATTTAAAAGGCCAATGGCAGCAGGAGTGTTTAAGTCTATTGGTTCTGCATCTCTGCAGAATATATCTGCAAGCAGACAGAAGCAGCTTAGACGGGAGGGTAGGATCAGCCGGGACAGAGTGTGCCCTCTTCAAACGTCTCACCTTGTACAAGGAAGGTCAAGATGATCTCAAAAAAGAAAAGAAACGTAAGATAAGAACTTGGTGATGGTGTTTCCACTTTCTCCAGCAGTTTCAGTTTATCTTTTTGTGTGTGTGTTGCAGGTATGAGTGCCCGCGGCTCAAGAGCCTGGAGTGTGGACATCTCTCCCCTCTCCCTGCTCCTCGCCATCACAATATCAACATTCAGGTCAACGTCGTGACACAAGAACAAACTCTGCTTTGTTTTTCAACCTTCTTATGGGTAAAAAAAATTTTCTTTAATTTGTGAAAGTTGCTGAGGTTTTTGGGTTTTTTTCTCTCTCATTTTTGGAGGTGACCACATATGTTGCAGTATTAGTTTGTGGGTATGAGGCAGCACAAGAATGGAGTCTGCTGTCTGACACTTAATTAACGGTAAATGCTTGAGCTTTTTTTTTTCTGCCGGTTGGGAACAATGCTCCATTTCAACTCTTTATTAGAATGATACAGATGCCTTACTTCCATTCATGTGCCAAAGTAGTTTCAGCCTTCTAGTTGTTATTGCTAAGATAGCTACATGCTTTCCTCAACATTTTATTCCTCACAGTTTCTTATTATTGAAGGACTCGGTGTACCTTGGGGAGGGCCGTGATGAGAAGGTGTATTTTGTATTTTTGAATATTTTCCGTTTTCCTCTCCACGTCTGAGTGGGCGAGTCGGAACATGTTCATTCACCCGTGCCCGTGCCTTTGGAGATTCTTGTAACGCCATCACTTATAGACACTAGTCAGTGATACTCCAGTGTTTAAGAACATACTGCAGCCATCCTCATTTTTACGTGCTCCATTAAAAGTTGGTTGTGTCCCAGATGAAACCCATAAAACAGCTCACAGTGCCAGTGTTAGCCATTTACTTTTTATCATTTGATTGTGGAGAGCTGAATGTAACATGAGGGCTGCTACAGGTTTTAATGCCTCAGACCAGTTATTGTAATAGCCTGCTGATTGATTGGATTGGACTTTTTTCTGCATTCACAAAGCTTACATCTGCCTGTATACAGCAGTAGTGGGACAGGTATGCAACTGCCAGTGTATTTCTTTCAACGCTGAAACAATCAGTCAATGGACAGAAAATATTCAGCAACAATCATTTAAGTCAATTGTCAAAGAGAAAATGCCAAACATGTCCAACAAGGTGTATGTTAGATTGCAATCCATTTGCCTCCACAGAATCCAACTCGGGAGTGTACTATTCCGCTTTATACCATGGCCACATGACAAAAAATACAATTGTCATTCAATTACTTCTATCACATTTTTTTTTTTATTCTCACTCGTACATGTTGGTTAACAGGCAAATAACATAAAATACACAGCTAAGTATCCATGCCTATCTAATAGAATTTACTGCATGCTGCGATTGCCTTAGGCAAACACTATAGCTAAGGACCAAACAGCTGGGAGTAGAGAAAGGATACGTTTACAACAGGGCTGGCATAAAGGAGTTTATAGCCCAAGTTACAGATCCTGAGAATGAGGTCTGATTATCCAGCGGCAGGAGAATCAAAATCTGTGTTTACTGTAAAATCATGTTTAAAGGAATAGTTCTACATTTTAAGAAGTCCTTTTGCTAAGTTAGATGAGAAGATTGATACCATTCTTTTTTCATTATGTAACTAGAGTAGGGATCTCATCTCTCTAGCCAAGCAAGCTTTCTTGTAGTAGAATGTTAAAGTGATCCTCCTATGCCTAAGCTTATCTTAGCTTAGTGTGAAGACTGAAAGCAGGGGGAGTAGCTAGCTTGGCTCCGAAGTTAAATAAATCCATAAATATGCCTGGCAGCACCTGTGAAGTTCAATTTCTAACAAGTTGCATCTTGTTTGTTGAATCTATAAGGTATACTTCATCAGAAGTGCACGTTGGATAGTGGACCAGCTTCGGAAACCCCCTACCCCCACACCTTTCTGGTGTTGGGAATGGGGGATGGGGGGTGGGTGGTATGCACCATTATCCCCAGTATTTTCAGTGTGCAGTAACTCTGATGAAGCAAGTGAGTTTCAATCTGCATCTACACTGCTAGATGCCACTAAATCCTACACATTGGACCTTTAAACAGTTATTGCCTCTCCTTACTCGCTTCATCCTTGTTGATGTGTTCGCGTACAGGCTGGTTCTTTTCAACCCCATAGCACGTGTCTCACTGATGCTCTCATCCAACTCGCAGCAAGAAAACAAATAAGCATATGTCTCAAAATGTCGAACTGTTCTTTGAATGAGAATAGAGAATAGTAGTTCAATACTTTTTGAGCATGAAAATATGGAACAATAGTTTAACAAAACAATCTCAGCTTAAGGTCTAGCTTTATCTTAAGCTTTCAGCTTCTTCTATATCAGCAAATGGAGTTTGCTCATAAGTTCCTCACTTCAGTCACGTGACTTTGATTATGTCAGCTGAACCAACTCCAATGCGACTTAGCAAACTCCATTTGCTGATTAAAACTATTGAGATGTGGTTGAAAAATATGAAAATATCACATTTACCTTGAGTTAATATTATTTCTTCAAATCAATTTGACACTGGTGCATTCATTTACAATAGCAAACAAACGTGTGTCAGAGGTGCCTGGTTATACTGTCCGGTTACCAGACAAAAAGGATCACCGGGCCAGCCAATCAGAATCCTCAGTGGCTATGGTATAGAGACATTAAAGACAAACAGCACCTTGTGCTTGGTGGAAACATTTTATAGACTGATTGACTAATTGATCATTATTTGCAGTGCTAGTCTTCATCCATCTGGGGAACACAGAGTAGTTGTGCCAGTCAATGTGCATCGTCAGCCATTGCAGTCGAGAAGAGAGGCTTAAAGTGCTGCCAATTGTGCCAGTCTGATAATTGAAATCTAGCCACCAGCTTAGATATTATTTGGCAAAATCTATGGTCAGCTGTGTTTTAATACTTTGTGAATCTGTCCTTTCTTGTCAGTTGTATTGGCCTTTTTATGTGGTAAGTGTTGTCACTGTTTATTTATGTATTTCAGCAAAACCCCACTGCTCAGGTATTCAGACCTGCTCCATCCTACCTTTCAATAGCCCTATAGTGTGGGAGCAGATAGATCACAAATCTGTCAGCACCCGACACAAGGGTCTATTTAACAGTCTGACTTGACGGATGGAAAGCCTGATATGTGCCGTGATTTAGCCGACATTAAAATATCTTAGTAAATTAGAGCAAGCCTGAGGGGATTCTATGGGAAAGGGCATAGGAGTAATGGTACTAATGACACCCACACAAGACTAATATATCAGGATTTAGGGAGGACTAAATCAGGACAATCCCATCAAAATGACACCAGGAAGATTCAAGGGTGTGTGTGTGTGTGTGCGCGTGTGTGTGGGTGTGGTTATTTTACCCTATGGTGTCATGGACAATAGTTTTCAAAAGGGGCCATTCTGCTATTTGGAAAAAAATTATTTAAATGTATTTCTTGTACTTTACCACGGTTCAGGGCTTTGGGCAACTGGAACATTTCGGACACAAACACAGTAATATAAGGTCAATATGTGAGGAAGGAAAAAAAAAACAAGTTTGAGTTGAAATGGCTGTTTTTCTATCACATTACCCTGGATTGCCAGAGCAATGGAACAAGCGGTAAAAAGCTCCAGAGTCCAAGGCCAGGTCAGTTGCACCTCGCAGGATACAGTTCGTATTAAATGTGGAGACAAAAAGGTTTTCTTCCCCAAATCAGTGTTAATAACTTTCTGAAAGCGGTCTTTGAATCCTGTTATGTTGTTTATGTGGCTTTACGTGTGGTTAACCTGTATACATTTATTCATCACAGAATGTCATTGTTAAGCTAACAAATGTTTACACAGGAAACGCATCTTTTCTGGCTAATTTATTAATTATACTGAACTGAAAAAAGACAGCATTACACTTTATGAACTTGTGTCTTGGGTACATAGAAGCATTGCCAACCTCTTTGTTTTGTAACGTATCAGTACTGTGGAGATGTTTTGATTCTGACTTTTTGTTCTTTTTTTAATGTTTGATATGGTTACTAATTGTTTACTTTATTTTTTTTTCTTCCAAAAATTCTGCACAAAGGTCAAGTGTTGCTTTAAAATAACATTTAAGAGCCAGTGTTGGCTAATTTAAAAGCCAGTGCAATGAGATCTCTCTTGCCTTCATACGGTATACTGTACATACTGTATGTATTTTGTTGTGATTTGAAGCAATGCCCCCCAACTGCGAGACCAAACTGCGGTGTCCTACTTCCAATTGTAATTCTCAGTCAAACCCAGAATCTGAAAAATACAAGAGCCAAGGGTAACCTTTCTTAGCAGCTGCTATCACACAACAGCCTTTTGGTGCAATGACACAAACACTACCTGTTACAAGGTAGTCAGCCAGTGCACAGTAGATAATACAAGTAGTACTATCTACTAGTACTTTTTGTCTTTTTATACCAATACAACTTTACAATTTTCTTGCTACTTTCAAGATCAGAAAAGGGCAGAATTGATCAGAAAATGAATAAACAAGTTACCCAAAATTTGCAATTTCATGAAGATTGATTGGAGAAATACAATTAGAGCTCTGGGTGACAACGCTTGGCCTTTCTGTTGTGACTCCTCAGTATTTTGATGTCCAGGTGATCTCTGTGAGATCGTGGCAGTAACGTTTTCACATTGAAAAGTCATCAGCTGATCTTGATATGCTGAAGCTGTGCATGTATGATATCGTTTGGTGCATTTGTGTTTTCTAAATGAGGGAGTTAATAAAAACAATTCACTGAGGATCTTCTCTTGGATTTCTTTATTTGAGTTATGTGTGTGGCACGGTGTCATTTTCAGCATCAGCAGTTTTAGTGTCTTTTACTGCAGGAGGAATTTGAGTGGTGCTTTGGGGCACCATCAAAGCTATAAAATGCATAATATTATGGAAAAAGCATATAAATGAGAGTAAATGGCAGCAGTAATCCCCTATTCAGTGGATAAAGAATAGATATAACAGAAGAGATTTTTTGCTGCATATACTAATTGTTTCATATAATAAGGACTACCATCACAGAAAGTCTAATGTTTTGAATACTAACATCACATACAATATCTACAAGAAGATTTAAAACTAACATGTATCAAGCAGTTGGCAGTGTTCTGTGGCTTTCTCAAAGAATACTGATTCATTTCTTTTGATTATTAGAGCATGCATCTGCCGAGGTTTAGATACCTTCCACTAAAAACAAAGGAATGACATGGAAAGCTACTGTGAAATATTGATTGAGCCAGTGTTGCAGAGATGCTTTTAAGATAATAAGAGGGAGAGGACCCTGTGAAGAGATCAATAGGAAGGGGATGTGAAGAAAAGAGAGGTTTCTCCCAACACACCACAGATCATCCGTAATGAGCTGGTGTGTCAATACTTAAGCAATGGCTCTTCACATGCTATTGACCACTGAATCAGCACTAGGTAACTTCCTTTTTACACCAGACACTGTAGGAAGGGATGTATGATTTTTATACCCACATTATCACTTTTTAGTATTGCTGAAAACTGCAAAATGCTTTGGATTCCAGATATGGTTTAGATAGCTCTTACACAGATATTGGATAAGACATGATTGGTGTGTATTATTTCTCCCCACATCTCTGCAACAGTCCAGACGCTGTAGCTTTGTCACTGCAGATTGCAATATGTCAATACTGCCCCCTCATGGTACTGGCATCCTGGTGCAGCACCCCACGGGTGAGTCAATACAGGGGGAGATAAGGCTGTGTCCGCAATGTCACTGCATTGAGTGGGTAGCCTACATTGACGACCTGAGCCAAGCTATGCAGTGGAACAATGACAAGATTCTGGGGGGTAATAAATGAATACAGCATTAAAACAAAGAAAACCCTAAAATGTCGCAGTCATATAACATAAAAGTTTGACATTTCAGGAATAAATTCAGTCATAATTTTTCTGTACATTATGTATGATCATGCAGCAATATTTCCAATAAGACCTCAATAAATTGTAGAAAATGTAGCTCCACTCCAGGCCGGTAGGTGGCGCTGTGTCCCCCAGCTTCCCCCAGAGCCGCTCAGAAGAAAACAGTGGGGAAAAGAGGGCTGCTTCCTGCGGCTCACACATGTACACAGTATCAAACTAGATGATGGCTTCTTCAAAGAGTAATCAGTCCACAAACAGTGGCCTTCAAGACATGAATTCAGACACTAACGACGACGAAAATGGCGAGTTGTGTCCCGGTTTTAAAGACGTGGATGCCTTTGTTAAAGTAAGTAAACTAACGTTAGCTCACTGGAGTTGTTGACTTCAGGCTAGCAGTCAGATGGACAACGTGGATGTGCCTGTTGGCTACGAGCTGTAAACACACTTTCAGTCAGGTATAGGATTAAAACATGCACAGCTATCCGGTGACATGACATCAGATTTGGTGTTTACCTCCCTGCAGTTGTCGAGGTAATGGTGGATATTTCCAGAGCTCAGCCTCTTTGCTGTGCTGCTTAATTAGCTTAAACATATGTGCGCGATAACTAATGTTTTCATGTGGCTGCAAGTAGATTTGCGCTTTCGACTAGTCTATCGATTGTGTAAAATAATGGTTTCGTCAAAACTATTGACATATTCATCTTATATCACTTACTTAAGACCAACGAACCCGAAGTTAAGAGCTATAGCTAGCTAAAGTGAGGGCTAATACGTTTGGAGAAGTTAAAACCAATGTCAAAAATTGAGAGGCTGTCACCAGCTAGCTAGTTAGGTAGTTGTTCTTTTTAGTTTGTTAAATAGTTAAAACAAGTTATTATCGGCTAGGGTTAGATTCACTAATAAACACTACATTCATACCAGTTAGCTAAACAAGTTAAACTATGTAATTCTCCATGTTTCACTGTGTAGGAGTAACCACCTTGTGTTTAAACCCCCACTGTGACATTAAACTGAAAGGCAAAATATGCATTACATTTCATTGTTCTCTGCTTTACATGCACTATGTTTGATTATATTAAAAGACACTTAAGGAAGTGTTGACTTACAGCTCAGCCTGTCTCTCCTCCGCAGTATGGATTGGGTGCTGTATTGTCCGCCACCAAAGCGTCCGCCGCCTTGCCTCAAGCTGGAGATGAGTATGATTTCTACCGCAGCTTCCCAGGCTTCCAGGAGTTCTGTGAAAGTCAGGGGGATAAGCTCTTGCACTGGTGAGTGTATGTTATGTTGTTGCTTCTTTTGAGTTTGGGCTCAGTCAGACGTGCACCAGTGTCCCCGCCTCCTTAAAGCCCATGAAGCTGACAAATTCAAGAATGTTTTTGCTCTTTCGCAAGGAGCTGTGGATCTCCAGTGCATTTGCAGGTCAAAGTTCACATTTGTTGAATGTAGATATGAGTTGGCACTGCTTGGTCAATAGTGCACTGCTTGGTCAATAGTACGCTACCAGACTACACAATGCAACATCACTCTGATTTACAGTCTTGATTTTCTGCTTACCTTTGTCAGACCTGACATCACATCCTGTTTGATGCTGAGATCGAGGCAATTTAAGTCTGACTGAGCCTTTGCTCAGAACCAAGGAGATACGGTTGGTTACTCAGCCAACACAAGAGTGGTTTGGCTGAGTAACCTGCTACTTGCTGTTTCTCAATAATAGAATAATATTCTTGTCACTTGTCCCTGTGTTAGCATGAGTCAGATAATGCAGCACCACGGCTGCAGATCCCACATGAGGGACCGGAACAAGCTGACAGGGCAGGAGGAGAGGTTCGACTTGGTTGTGGACTCAAACGACGTCATCCTCGAAAGAGTGGTATGACCTATGGCTTTGGTGTTATACAACTTTCTCCATGAAAAAGGTTGAGAAACCAACCAAGCTCTTGTATGTGATTTCCAGGGGATTCTTCTTGATGAAGCTGATGGGGTGAACAGGAGCCAGCAGCCTGTCATGCCTGCAGGATTTCAGCCTCCCAAGATTGTGGTTTCCAGCTGGAATCGCAAGGTTTGGCTAATTAACCTCTCAGCTCTCATACTGCAGATGCCAGTTTTTTTTTTGTGCTGCATTCAAGCTGAAACATCATGTGCCAGTCCTGGCATTCAAGCACCTAAAGCCCTAGCCCCGTTTTTAAAAACATTTTTTTTGGAACACTTGCTAAATATTCATACCAGCACTTCACACGTTGTGGTAAACAATGCTTTCATTGATCAGGGTACAGGTTCTGGCAGTCGTTCTGAGATGTTCCGACTGCTCCACGCCAAGAATGTTACGAGGCCTCAGCTGAAATTCAAGGAAAAAGTTGACAACAGCAACACACCATTTATTCCCAAGATCTTCATCAAGCCCAACGCAATGAAGCCTCTTCCTTCTTGTAAGACGCTCATGTTTTTTCCCCATTTGCTGTTTTCATAACATTCACTGCACCTATAAATTTAACTCTTTAACATCTCTAACATATTAGCTCTCGTGCTCTCCAATCATAGATTTCACCAACAAACAAATCCGTAAAGAGAGACCCGAGGACCTTGACGTCCCAGCTGCCCTCGCTGACTTCATTCACCAACAGAGAACTCAGGAACATGTTGAAGACATGTAAGACTTTTCCTTCGTGTAATATTAACATTTTGTCTTTTCCTATTTCTAGTTGTCCATCTAAGTGTCTGATTTTGATCCTTGTAGGTTTGCACACCCATACCAATATGAATTGGACCATCTTACAATACCAGAAAGCTTTCTGTCTAAGCCAGTGGCACAGGTAAATTCTAGTGATCCTACAATATGATCTTCTGATTGTTGGTTTGCCTCTCCTAAATTTGTGTCTTGTGGATTATTTTTAGATGTACAAACCAATGGATGAGACCAGGTGCTCCTTCATTGACACACTGGAGGATCTGGTGGCTCTGAATGAGAAGCTCTGCAAATTGCCTGAGTTTGCTGTGGACCTTGAGGTACGGGATTAGGAACAGTTCTTGGATGTAATGTACGGGGGTTGGGCATCAGTATCAGTACAACAGCCAAGCAACACATAGTGCCTTTGTAAGGAAGGCATTGATTCAATTCTGTGGTCAATTTTGAGTCTGTTATTAAAAACCTGTAGGTCCTTGTGTTTTAAGCAGAGGTTTTGTTTGTTTGCCATCGCAGCACCACTCCTACAGGAGTTTCCTCGGCCTCACCTCGCTGATGCAGATCTCCACCAGAGAGGAAGACTTCATCATCGACACCTTGGAGCTCCGCAGCGAGATGTACATCCTAAACGAGGCGTTCACTGACCCGGCTATTGTCAAGGTAATGGAACCGCTCCACAGATCCTGCATTGTGTATCTTGTTCTACAGCTTTTACTGTCTAAAGAGAAGATGAGATTATGTATCTGATCAGATTTGTTTTCCAAAAATGGTGAACTGTACCGTGTGTGTGGCTGTTTATAACGGAAATTTTCTTTCCGTTTTATCGTTATTTTCCTTTGTTATGTGCTTTCTGTTATAATTAAACAATTTATTCAGCAGCCTCATCAGGATATGGCAACACTTTACAACGGAAGGCACAGAGCAATCACATCACAGATTTGATATGGCCCATATTACATTAACTAAACCGCTTGTCTGAAAATAAGATGTACTGTATGTAAAATTACAACTGCCAGTTGTAGAAATCCATTAGATCTTGCAGCGCTACCTCCTCATTCAACTCTGACCCAGTGGACATACCTACTGTATGTATAAAACAACGAGTTTTACAATGCAGTGGACAGTTATGACAGGAACTTCTCATGCAATCCCTTTGGGTTTTACTTCTAAATAAAAGGTATAAGGATAGGATAAGGATAATTAAACTGAAGATATTTAAGGAAAACCTGCGTGGTTGTCTGACCACTTGGTCTGCTTTGCAAAGCTGTGTCATCATACTCCCAAATCTCAGCAATTAAAATGGCCTTAGAATAGCCTCTAGATAATTAATTTATTTTAAGCATATGAAATTAGGATGGCTCAGACTACTTTATGAACTGGTTGCATCTGAACTGCCCAACGTAACCTGGAGAAGAAAATCTCCACCTGTGTAGTAATACGTTTGTAAAGTCATAATCTTGAAAACTTGGAGGTGTCTCAGCACTTCACAGTTTTCAAACATGTTTAATAAAGTTGGCGGGTGTCCTGTGGTGTGTGGGAGCCACCATGACTCAAGCACCGTAGGATTCCTGTGAAAAAGTGCGGTGCGTGGGCTTGAACTACTGAGAGACGTGTGAAAATAATCCAAATGGAAAAATATCACATGCTGTGTCCCCAGTTTTTAATCTTTTTGGTTCAAGTATCTTCTCTAGCAAAGCAAGTCAAATTTCTTTTTTAAAATATATATATATATATGTGGATACCTCACCTTAGAGGTTTCGGCTGAATGTCCTTTCTTTCCTGGTTTCAGGTATTTCACGGCTCCGACTCTGACATTGAGTGGCTCCAGAGGGACTTCGGCTTGTATGTTGTCAACCTGTTTGACACGCATCAGGCCAGCCGAGCTCTGAACCTGGCTAGACATTCCCTCGACCACCTGCTCAAACACTTCTGCAATGTGGACTCAGACAAACGCTACCAGCTGGCTGACTGGAGGATCCGGTATGTGTTCCGTTTGGTGCTTATTATTGTATAGGATTAACTGTGGGATGGAGTTCTTTTTAATCTCTTATCAGTAAACCCCACCATGCATTTCAAATTGTTTGTAATTTAGAATACTATTATTGACTTTTTGGCCAGTTGAAGTAAAAACTTTCCTGTAACTTGGCCCTTTAGCCCTTTGCCAGATGAGATGGTGCAGTATGCCCGGACAGACACCCACTACCTCCTTTACATCTTCGATTCTGTGAGGGCACAGCTGTTGGACTTCAACCACGGTCAGCCTGGCCTTCTGCAGAGTGTCTGGAACAAAAGCAAAGACATTTCTCTGAAGGTGACCACAAATCTCGCTTCATACATCATGAAGATTAAATTGGCACTTAAAAATCAACCTTTATACTCCTTCTCCATCCAGTAGTTTCATGGTGTCTTTATTGCTTTCATATTTCTACATTTCCACGCCATAATCTTGTGCATTTTCCAACATTTGTCGCAATTCACCGTGTGCTCACCCCCTCCATACAGAAATATATGAAGCCTATATACACAGAGGAGTCATATCTGGAGCTGCAGAGGAAGCAGAAAAGGTCTTTTAACACCCAGCAGCTCACTGCCTTCAGACTGCTGTTTGCCTGGAGGGACAAGCTGGCCAGGCAGGAAGATGAAAGCACCGGGTAGGCTGTTTGGAAATGGATGGACTTGCTGTTCTGGAAAACTGCTTGAGCTGTTTTCTTATTTATAGTTTGTACCCAGCCAGATTTTGCAACCCCCTGCTTTTAGAATAATTCATAGCCTTTCGATAACTGTGTTAATATGTTTAAATATTGTGTTATTTGTGTGTTTTAGATACGTCCTGCCTACCCATATGATGATCAAGATATCTGAGGAGCTGCCCAAGTAAGATGATCAGATTTCCCTCTTTTGATTTGTTTTTTAGTGTTGGTGGTTCTCACCTCAGTGCAGGTGAATTTAGTGTTTTTATTCATAACCTGCAGCACAGTATTGCGTCTTTATCTTCCCAGAGAGCCTCAGGGCATTATTGCCTGCTGTAACCCGGTACCCCCGCTGGTGAGGCAGCAGGTCAATGAGCTCCATTTGCTAGTGCAGCAAGCTAGGGAAATGCCTCTCCTTAAGGTGAGCTGAGGGGATATGATGTTTTTTTTTTTTAGTTATGTAATATCAGTGTTTGTTTTCAGTTATCAGTGAAGGCCCCCAAATCAATCATCGCAATATTTTCTACATTTCACACAGGCTGAGATTGCAGCTCAAAAGAAGAAGGGACTCACACCCATAAAAAAGGTTTGTCAAAAACTTATTAAACTATATTTTTTGTTTAGTTTTTGCATTCACTAACAAACCATGACTGGAGTAAAATAAATGTGATGTTGTATTTGAACTTTCCAGCCAGAAGTCCTGTTATTTGGTCCTCATGATACATCCAGGGTCTCTGAGAGTGACCTCCACCCCTTTTCTCCTGATGGTAAGCTTGATCCTCGTGCATGCATTATCCTGGTGGTTTAATATTTCAGTCACAATAATATTTAAGTTCAACCAAGTTCCACCTTGTTTGTCTGTGACGGGGGGCACACCATAAACAGTTTGAGAATCACTGCCTTAAACAAATGTATTTATTTTCAGAACTGCCTGTGAAACAAGGGATGCTTTTCTCAGATGATGAGCACAAAATGGATGTTGATGTACAGAGAACAAGTGGCCTTGTGGCAGCAGCTAAAATCACACTGTTTGAGGTAGAGATCGTCTTTTAGTTGACTTTATTAAGCCAGTCGATTTTATATGCAACAGTGCGAACTAATGTGAGAACTCTGATTCCTTTTTGAAGGAGCTGGAAACACAGAATGACCAAGAGCCCCTCCCTGTGCCTCAAATGAAAGCCAGACGTATCATTGAGTCTTTTGAAAACCCTTTCAGAATGGTGAGCTACGACCAGTGATCAACCCTTAGTATTGTTTGCTTTTTAATTCCACCTGACACGCAGTATTCCATCTTCTTTGTCATTTCAGTATTTACCCTCCAGCGATGTGCGCGTCAACAAGAATGCCAAGTTTGACCCATCCTCAAAAATATTTGAGGTATTCAAAGAGCTACGTACAGTCATGCATATCCAGACTTATTTGTGTTGTCCTCTCTGCTACGTGTCTTGAACGTTAATAGCTGTACCGTCTCACGTTCACAGATTAGCAAAAGATGGAAACTGCAGAGTATCGAGCAGCAACAAAAGGAGTTGGAGGCCAAGAGGAAAGCCAAAGAAGAAGCAAAGGAACACATAAAGAAAGTGGCAGGTAACGGATTTGAATCTGCTCTAAACTGACACATTCAAAAGCAATGATCCTCATCATACTTTAATGTTGATTTCCACAGAGGAAAGAACCAAAGCTAAACAGAGCTACCAGGAGTCTCTTCAGAACGTTGCCACTGTTCGCCAGCAAGCAGCGGTGAGTCATTTGCACTCTTGTCCTTCCTTTTTCTCTGTCCCACTTCAGATAGGCTTTGCACTCTGTCAACTTCACTTTTGATGTCCCTGTTGGGAGAGTACATATCCATGAAAAACATGAGTTATATTCACCCAAGAGCCTGACACAGCATATTAAAGATAGTGCTTTAATAGCCAGTTTAACCCTCTGCAGTGCCCCCATTTTCTAGAGACATGGCTGAGATTTCTGCACATAAATGTGGTGACTCACAAGCGAGTGAACCACGGCTGTCAGTCTGCAGCACCGGCATGTTAGTGGCCTTTTAATATTTATATCCATCACATGATGTGCCAGGGGAAGAAGAACACACAGCGTGGGATTGGAGCATTAGAGACACGTCCTCCACTCATCAAACGCTTCTCTTTCCTCCTGGGGAACAACAATAGCTACTGTCTGCCGAAAAGCCCACTTTGTTAGCTCCGTCTCTCTGGGGTATTGCTTGGCACCCTCTGGCTTGGTTACTATTACGTGCTCTTGCCACCATATGGTGTTTCCGCTCTGTTTTTAATGCTCAGTTAGACAGTAGTCTCTGTACTTCATCTTCTGTCCAAGCAGTCCAAGAGAATAGAGATAAAGGTCACCGCCATCTGACTCTGACTTTTATCCCTGCTTCCCTCTCTCTGCCTTTCATTGTGTGAGGCTTCAGCCATCAATCGCTGGTGTGTAACACAATGATCCGTTGTGTGATGATGAAGTGAAAAGTTGTTTTTTTTAAGGCGCACCCTGCTGAAACGGGCTAATAACCACGTTGGCACCGTCTGGTGGTATGCGTTAAAGTCGAAAGTGTTGGCAGCGACACTTGAAACCAACACTCGTCAACCTGCCAACTGCAGACAAGTATTGGCTCTGCTGGCTAGCTGTCAGTTTCAGCCAGTACTTTGGCAGTGAAGTTCTCTCGTCTCATTTCAGTTTGAAAGAGCGCTTTGTGGTTTTCCAAAGCTCATACTGAACTGATATTATAATTGACATCATCATGGGTGTATGCTGTGATTGGGCTTGTTAGTGACAGTTAATCAAAAAGTGATTAATTGTTATCAGGTCAAATTAATCATGGCCGGTAAGTAAATCAGAAATGATCACAGGGAAATAAGATTGCAAGAAAACATGATTTGTCAAGACTTTGGAGGTGTAGCCATAACCATTCTTTAGCAAATTAATATGATTAATTAGAACAAGTGACATAAATAAAAATCATTAACATCTTCTATTCAAAATCATAAATAAGGATGATAAACTTTTCTATTTGGATGAAATGTTTTCAGTTTGAAGCCTCAGTTGGCAGCATTGTAACTCCAAAGCAATCCTGAAAGTGATACCTCTGTGAGGTGACACTGATGCTGTCATTCACACCTTGTGCTGTGATTGTGGTTTAATAATGTAAAGCTATTTTGACATATCCAACCTTGAGGAAAACCTTTCTTTGTGGATAAAATAACAGACTATACAGGCTTATGCAAACGGGGGGAAGCAGAATAGCTCCAAGCTGAGTCAAGACCCTTTTTAAAGGGTTTTTGTTTAAACATGAGGAAAGATTAATGGTAGGTTCTGGGATATCGGCATGAAGCTGCAGCTTCATCCACTAACCTACTGGCTGAATATCGACTGTAGAACTCAATTTTTCAACTTATCTAAGCACAGACTTGAAATTTTTTTTCAACCTGTAGTTGGCAGCAAAATTTGGATTTTTTTCATCACTAATGAATAAATATAATTGCTGAATGGGCTACAAAAATGTTGGATAAGTATGCAGCAAATTCCCTTTTAATTCTTTAAAGATTACTTTGATTTATGTTCTTTTATACAATTTAATGGTTATCAAAAAGAAAAGATAACTGTTTGATGACTTGTACAATAAAACTGCACACACATGCTGGCAGTCCTCCAATGTTCATTATCTTGTTAGTTAAACAAAAATACACACAGAATACATTCATTAAAATGTTTGCTCTAAATGTTGTACAGACTATAACGTTGCTGACCAATTTCATTAGGAATCTGAGAAGGGCGGTGGAAAGAAAAGAGAGAGGGTTGCCAGTGAGGTTGGAGAGTCGACTCCCAAACCGAGTAAGAAGCTGATGAAATCTGTAGAGAAGCCCCAGAAGACAGAACCCCCTCCCCAAGACAGCTTCAAGCCCTTCGACTACAGTCAGTCAGACCTCAAAGTCTTCGCTGGTAAGGATATTTGATTCTGTTTTTTATTTCATCACATCGGATAGTTCACCACTTACTTCACATTCAGTTACAGTTGTTGTACTAATAAGAATTTATTCAAATCAGTGCACCTGTTATGTTTTTACAGGTAACAAAGCCAAGGACAACACACAGTTTGATCCAAGCCGGCAAGCCCATGGTTTTAAGAAAAAGGTATTTGTTTGGTCATTATTTGTTTATTGAACAATCTATTTTTTGGGGTGAAAAACAAAAACACCAGAATAAAAGGCTGTTTTATTACATTAAAAATGTGTTTTTTTGTACTTGATGAATTTAAATCCTTTGTGCAACAGAGGGGTGGTGCCAAGGGACAAAAATCCAATTTTGGAGCTGCAGGCAGAAGTATGTCATACCTGGCTGGGAAATCTGATAGGTAAACATAACAATATACAATACAAGAGTGTGTATGTGCAATCTCAAACATCTCAGTGTATTAACCGTTCTGTCTTTTTATTCTCTGCAGAGGATTCCGGCATAACTGGCCCAAAAGATAAACTCTCTTCGATGCTATTTTCTGTGTTATTTTTAAGAAAGCTTTTCATCTTACAGAAAGGATTTTTTTTTTTTTTTTTTTCAATGCCAATGAAGTTCAGTATTTCAATATTTGATGAATTTCAAAGTGTATTTTTTTCCCATCTGTGGAGCAGTTTACTTTGTAAATATGTGGGCACACAGACCTCTTTATTAAAATGATTTTAGAGGAAAAAAGGTTCTTGTTCTTTTTATATCATTTATGTGGAGCACTATCATTCAGTATCATAATCAGACCTGTCTTCCGGCTATCAACACTGATATTAAGATGATGGGTAACATTTTAGTTAATAAAAGTAATAGATGTGGAATGATAGCAAGGAAACTTAAACTTGGTGTACCGACTCACAAGATGGAAAATTGACTATAAGGTTTGTTTTTTTTTGTCTGTGAATGTGTCATGAGAATACTTTTAAGAAGTAACTGGCAATGATTCTTTTGAAGATGTGTGAACTGTGATGTGCTGTGAAGTGAAAATGTTTAGCAAGTCACACAAATAACTAAAAGTGTTACTGTCTATTTAAAAAGCAGTTCAACCTCCTGTTCTGTGATACTAATATAATCTTAAAGGTCACCCCACCACCAAAACTTGCATTATATTGCCAAACATATATGGACATATGTGACCCATATGTGACTGCTGAAGATCATGTTCCAAAAGCATGCTGATTAATATGCTGCTATACAGTGGTGGAAAGTAACGTAGTACATTTATTCAAGTAGTATACTATACAATTTTCAGGTACTTTTACTTTACTTACAGTTTTATGCTACATTTCAGAAGGGACATTTTGTCGTTTTTACTAAACTACATTTATCTGACAGCAAAAAGTATAGTGTACTCCACTTCCACCAGTTATGACATTAGAATTATGTATATGTGTATATGTTCCAGCGTCAGTAATAAAATGCTTTATATAATCATACAACTCTGTGAAAGGCACCATTTTGCCCAACAAGTATTTTTACTTTAATACTTATAATACATTTTGCAGTACTTTTTCCAGCACTGCTGCTATAACAGCCACCACCCAACTTCTAGGCACGCTTTCCATAAGAAATTGGAAGCAGTCTGCAGAGATTTTCTCCTCTTCAGCCACAAGAGCATTAGATAAGTCAGACACTGATGCTGGATGATGAGGCCTGGTTTGCATTTGGTGTTTCAGTTTATCCCAAAGGAGTTGGATGAGTTTGAGGTCAGGGCTCTGCAGGTCAGTCAAGTTCTTTAACACCAAACTGTAAAAATGTTATCTGTATAGACCTTGTCTTATGCATGGGAGCATTGTCCTGTTGAACCAGAACGGTCATCTCCAAACCAATGACTAAAAGTTGGAAGAACACTTTTGTCTAAAATACTGTAGCATTAAGGTCAGCCTTAAAGGACCCGTGTGTAGGATTTGGTGGCATCTAGTGGTGAAGTTGCAGATTGCAACTATTTGAATCCAACTCAGCCTTCCGAGTGTGTGGGAGAAACTATGGTGGCGGCAAAAAACAAGAAAGGCCCTATCTAGAATCAGTGTTTGTTTTGTTAGTCCGATCTGGACTACTGTAAACATGGTTGAGTCCCTGCTTCCCTGCTTCTAAGGTAACAAAAACTCTTATTTCCAGGTGATTATACACTAATTAAAACAGGTATGAATATAAGATTTAATTTCTGCCAATAGATCGTCCTAAATGTTACACACTGGACCTTTAAATAAAGAGTTTAGTTCAAACTACAAAACACAGTCTCAGACAAAAAGTGCATACAGTAACTATGTGTCAGTGTATAACAAAAAAAAAAAATACTGCCTTAACCTGGGTAATGGGTTCTCAACTTTTATATTTATGTATCTCAGCATGTTAAATATCATATTTGCTGGAGGAAGGTCAGAGTTGTGTTTCACTAATAGGGCAGTGGTGCTCATAAAAATATAATTTGAAAAAATAAATTTAAATATATTAATTTAAGTTCATTTTAGGTGACAAAAAAGACACATTTTCCCACGATGGTATAATAATCTTTGCAGTGGAGGGTTAACTTGGTATCTTGGTTAAAGTGTAATGTAAAAGTTTCAGCAGTTGGACTGTTGGACCCACAGCAAACCTTTCCCTAAGAATGGATGCCTAACAAAATATTGTTGGCTCAAAATTGTTCATTATTACATAAGATAAGACAAGTTACACATTTGTAAGTACTGAGTTTATACTGTAGTATGAATACATTTAATGCAACTTCCACTTACTGTTACAGAGTGATGCAGATTTTTTTAAATGCAATAATTACTTTGCTGCAAATAGAAAAATCAAATTGAGGAATAGTCTGTGCCAAGGCAACATCACAAAAGTGTTTTTTCTGAACCAACTGAAGAAGCTTTTAGACAATCTTCATTTCAACCTCACCCCATCTGGTTGTTACGTCATCCTGTGCTGCAGTTACGACAAGACGTTCATCGTGATGCTTGTGGAGCCACAGTCACAGCAGTGTCTGCTTCTCTGGGATCCTTGCTAACATCCTTAACATTCAGAACTGAAGTAATGACTGGGGGTTCAGCAGGGGGAGTCATGGGAAGTGGTGGCGATGTCTCCGGAAGCAGAGTCTGGTTCTGGGGTAGGTGGAGCCTGCTTTGCTGCATCAGACCGGCTGAACCATTCTGGGCGCCAGTAATGTCAGGAGGTACATCAGCGGGGGTCACTGGAGGTAATGGTGCTGGAGCCACAACAGTCTGGTTCTCTGGTGGTCTCCTTGCTCATAGCCTCACCATCCAGGACTGATACAGAGACTGGGGATTCAGCAGGAGGAGTCAGAGGAGGTTGTGGAGCTGTTGCCATAAGAGAGTCTGCTTTAAGGCTGGGTATAGAGGAATACTCTGTTTCATTCATGACGATCTTGGCATGAGATTCAGGACTTGGAGTCAGAGAAGCAACCAGAGTCTGCTTCTATGGTGGTCTTTGCACTCATATCTAGGAGGATATGTAGGGGGGGGAACAGAAGATGACAAAGCTGGAACCACAGCAGAGTCTGATTCTAGGTTGGTTTTAGAGGCAGACTCTACTGTTTCATCCAGGCCAATATTGGCAGCAAGTTCAGTACTGAAAAGAGTAGGTTGAGGAAACAAAACAAACCAGTTCTCTGTCTTTGTCCAGACCAGGCTTCCCATTCAAAACTTCAGCCTGGGTGTGAATGGCCTGTGCACGATAGTTAGTCCTGTTTTGTTTCTTGAAATACACAGTATTATCCTGTTCAGTTTATTCATTCATTACTTGCAGCTTGGTGTGTTGGTGTCAACCTATTTGTTTGTAATGATCATTTTTGTTGCGAATCAGATTTTTTTTAAACATATATATGTATATATAGGTAGTTGAAGATAATCATGCAGAGCCCCAATATTACATGTTTAATTTAGTTCTTTCATTTTGTTGCATTCCCACTTTACGCTGTAGTAAAGGTGCTTCAGTAGCACCACTTTTTGGACAATTATTTTCATGCCACACAGTTTTCCATTGATTAGCCCATGGACCCATGAACCCTTCACAGATCGTTTTACTTGGAATGTGACTACAAAATTAAATTTCCAATTTATGTGTGGTGATATTTACTCTGTATATGAGTAAATGGTCTGCTGCAATATAATATACATTAATTCATTAATACATCATTTGGCTGACTGTTAACGTTTCTTTTTAACACTGAAGCATTTTCCAGCTCAATCAATTCTAGTGACAGTGTTGCAGAGATAAACTTGACACTTCCCAGAGTCTCACTTACTTAGTAATTGTGCTTGACACTCTTCAATCTGCTCAGGAAGTAAGCATCAGCATGTCAGTGTGTAGTTATATCCTGCTATTAAACCGCCACTGCCACACGCCTCCCATTCAGACCTGAGCTATCTATTCATCACATTATGAGGACAAAAGACTGAATACTGAATACACTGAAGGTACTCACTTCCCATATAAGGGCACAACTTGGCCCCTGCAAGGAAACATATTTATTCTAAGGTTGGTTTTTAGGGTTAAGGTTGAGGGGCAAGTATTGTAGTGGTTAATGGTGCCTCTAGTGAATGAATGTGGAGTAGATAATATGTATGCATGTGTGCGAAGATGTGAAGTCCTCCTCCCAAAAAAAAAAACATACTTCATACAACCTTCGATGTACATGAACATCACATTTTATCTTTATTTATATTTTTCCACGCTTGTAGCTGTCAAACCACAATACCAAGCAGATTCAGCATAATCAAAATCATATATTAATGTTGACAAAATAGGTTTCTTAACAGAATTTGTTGGGGATTTGTTTGTTTTTTTCATTTTTCTGAGATCTTATTTTTGGGGTGTGTTATTTAAATGTGTCTTCTGTCTTAACTAGTTTTTTTGTGTATGTTTGCACACAGTTAGTGTTCAGCAACTAATTCAGACTACACTCAAAAATAGCAAGCCATGCCCAGAAAACCACGTCTAAGTTTAAAGTTTCGAGTTTAAAAGCTGTAGGAGGATGCTGCAGTATTATTTTTCATTTATTATTTCTAATTCAAGGGGAGGGCCCAATGAAAATACTGATCACTCTGAAAAAAGCCTCACTTAAAAACAAACAAACATATGCTCGCCCCCCACCACTCACTCCCTGACCCCCTGGCCCGCGCAGGCGCAGTGGTGCTACCCCGCTCTGCTCCGGCTCCAGGGCGGCGCTGCGGCTGTGCAGTCAAACAAACTATACACGGACCGGTCCGTCCTGCGACCCCATTGGCTCGCGTAACGGCAAATATTGACGTCGGCGGCACCCGATTGGCTAACACTTGACCCATCACGTTTAGCTGTCAGTTAACGGTCATGTGTCACATCTTTGTCGCCACACTTACAAACACGTTATTTTTACTTGTGGCCGTCGGCAGCTGACATGGACCACATTAAAGATGGATGGTTTACAGAAATGTGCACGTTATGGCCCGGGCAAGCGATGAGCCTCCAAGTGGAAGAGGTCCTCTACGACAAGAAATCCAAATTTCAAGATGTTATGGTTTTTAAGAGGTGAGTACTTTCAGCCACATAACTTGGCTAATGTTGCTAGCTGTTAGCGACTACTGAGAAATGAATGAGCGAACTGAAGCTCCGTGGCTTCTCGACAAGTTTCTCCCGCGGCTGGCTGCCTGGGAGTTCCTCCGTTTGCCCTCAAGTTTTAGTTAGCTCACAAACAAAAGTAGCTGGGGGGCGAATTGAGCAGAGACCGGTGGGGGGGGGAGGAGGATATCTGTGGGTCAGTGGATGGGAGCCGTCACCCACACTGACAGGTTCACATAAATCACACAAGCTCTCTTTTCTTGTTTGGTTTTAAGAATGGTAGCAAACGAATGTGCACGGCCTCTGCTGCTGCTGCTGCATGCTGTTCAGTTTGTGTAGATCCCACCCGAGCTATGTGAACTGTCATTGGAAAGCGTGAGGGCGTATAGAGCTTTCCAATGTGCCTCATACTTCGCTGTCACTTTTCAGTAAAACCTACGGGAATGTCTTGGTGCTGGATGGAGTGATCCAGTGCACAGAGAGAGATGAGTTTGCCTATCAAGAGATGATTGCCAACCTTCCCCTGTGCAGCCACCCCTGCCCCAAGAAGGTACTTCTGAGATGTATCTGCAGTATGGCTACACTCACAGTGTGACTTATGTTTCTTGTCTCAACACTCAGCACGTTTCCTTTTGTTTTGTTACAGGTGCTCATTATTGGCGGTGGTGATGGCGGTGTGCTGAGGGAAGTGGTGAAGAATACACTGGTGGAGTCTGTGGTCCTGTGTGAGATAGACGAGGTGGGGGCAACAACAGAGAGCTGTACTGATTACTGTTGGTTCCTAATACTGCGCCTGAGTCACGCCTGCTCATATCAATGTTGCTGTCGTCTGCTGTGTAGGATGTCATTAATGTAGCGAAGAAGTTCCTCCCAGGGATGGCCAAAGGGTTTTTCAGCCCCAAGCTCACCCTCCATGTTGGAGACGGCTTTGAATTCATGAAGCAGAACCAGGATGCCTTCGACGTCATTATAACCGATTCCTCGGACCCTGTCGGTAAGTGCCACTTTTATGTTGCGCCATTTTCCTTTCTGTGCCAACTGTCATAGGTTCGTTGGAGGCACTGCTATTTTTACTTCTGTTTTTTTGTTGCAGGCCCTGCTGAGAGTTTGTTCAAGGAGTCTTACTATCAACTGATGAAGGCAGCATTGAGAAACGGTGGAATTCTTTGTTCCCAGGGTAAATGTTATATTTCACCACAATTTAGTAAGGAGATGCTTGAGTAGAAGTCATACCTGCGCTACTAAATGATGTCAAGTCTGTCAAAAAGTCTGGTTATTATTCATGACTTTTATTAACTCCTCTGTCCCCCATTTATATTGTCTGTCTTCCAACTACTTCAGGATGTAACGATACCAAAAACGCAGACAGAAAATGAACGTGCCCTTTCATCTGCTTGTGTGTCATTTTCACAGGAGAGTGTCAATGGCTCCATTTGGAGCTGATAAAGGAGATGCGAACCTTCTGCAAGACCCTATTCCCTGTGGTGGAATATGCCTACAGCACCATACCAACTTATCCCAGTGGCCAAATTGGATTCATGCTCTGCAGTAAAAATCCTGTACGTGTTCTAGTCGTTCTCCATTTGCCGTCTACCACATCGCTGATTGTTGTCAGATTGCCTATGAATGCCACCGTCTTATTGTAAAACGATCCCGTAGCACAATGACTTATCTGCTTTCTTTTTGGTGATTGGTAACGTCCATCAAATGACTGACGTTCCCTCTTCTCTTTTTTCGAATTAGGAAACAAATTTCAAGGACCCAGTGAAATCACTGGCAAAAGAAGAAATGGAAACTATGAACCTTAAATATTACAATCCTGAAATTCACAAAGCATCATTCGTCCTCCCTGAGTTTGCAAGAAAGGTGAATGTTGTTGTTAAAATACATTTTCATGTATGATTTGTGTGCAATTCAAAACTGTTAGCGCACATATTTGCTACTTTTTCACTCACTGTCTGTTTGACCATTGACAGGTACTCAGTGACGCATGACCAGCAACAAGAGACCACCATGTTCATCCTCTACCTGGCCCTTAGACCACAGATAAACAACCTTGTTCTGCGGCTTCTTCACCTCCTCAACACAGTTCAGCACCACTGAAGAAGAAAGTGGCCTCCTAAAGATTTTGTGGGTGTGGGCAACTAATAATCAGTGGGTGGGTACTTTATACAGATAAAGTGTTCGTATTCACTCTGGTGTTTTCTTTCCTTCCAGTCTTACATGCTCTCAGTGTTTATTTATTTTTCTGATGTATTTGGTTTTTCATTTTTACTCTGTAATTGTCTTATCAGCTTTTTTTTTTTTTTTTTTGGAAGAGCAGTTTAATGGGCTTGGCTGAGTGGGAAGAACATTGCCATCAAACCTGACCTCACTCTGAAACTGTGTACTGTTTATTGGATTCTTTGCATCTACACATTATGCAATATATTACATACCATATAGAGTATGTATATGTAGGTATTGCTGTACTTTTATTTGTAATGTTTAATATCAGTTTGTGCTCATAGGAAAATACACGGTTGCCATTTGTCATGACTTTATATTCAGAATACTAATGTGTCCTCCACACATGAACCCTATAGTGCCTGAAATTGGTTGTTTGTCGTTTAAAAAGAAAACTTGTTATGTATCTATCATAGCGTACCAGGCAGATAGTGTCCTAGATGAAAGCTCAAGTGTTAAAATAAAATTGGCACTTCAAAAAATATCACCAACTGAAGATTTAATAAGTTTAGTTGATAATTTAATTGATGCCCAGCTTTGACCATCCATTTGATATGGAAGAGTTTAATGTTATGGTGTTAAATAAAATAAAATTAAGTATGGCATTGGAGCTTTGCAATGCAAGAAATGTTTTTAAAATGTGAATTCATTATGCAATTATAACTTGCAGTATTTTCTCTCGACTACCAGTAGTAGACTTGTACTGTAATAAACCTGTATGCTGACATCTTAAGTTGCTACCTTTTTAGTTGTAAATCCACATTGAATCTTTGTTGAGAAATGGTGTCATACATGAGCAATGGACTTGTGTTTTTATAAGGAATGTAATAAATTGGTAAAATGGTTATATGAGATCTGTGTGCGTTCAGCCACTGACGGGTTTACTAACATCTATGCTTCTGTATTTGCACAAAAGGACACCTAGACGCAGAACTTTTGTTCTGGTTTAAACATGTGGTACTTAAAAAAAACAATATTTGGTTGCAGGAAAAATATCACCATACTAGTCCAAAACCTGTCTCATAGTTAATAAAGCTAATATTTACCAACTGTAGTATCACTTTCCAACCATATACAGCTTTATGTGTGACTTGTTTCCAGAGCTGTTTTAGCTGCTTTTTCACTGCAAATAGTTAAACCTTAAACATGGTCTAGGTGCTGGTATGAACAGTACTGTAGTACCAAGGTCCAAGTGCAGTGTTAGTATTCACACACAAGATGGCATCCTTTAACCTGTTATGTATAAGCCAGTTTCACACATTCACACAAGTATACAGGAATGCATTTTAATTATGCTGTTCAAATTCAGCAAATGCATATTCAGAGCATATAACTATATATTTTAGGTTTTCTTTGAATTTTAATGAAAAGCCCCTTGGCTCCAGTAAACTGTTCACATCAGTCAGTGTTTTGTGATGTGAAGTGTGACTGTTGCCCTCAGTTGCATCAACTCTAGTTCTTGTTGTGTAAGATTTCAGTCCTCACTGGTTTTCTGTTAAAATGTGACCAACCTGCAACAATGCAGTACATTATTGTGTGTTACAGTGGCTGTACTCTGGGCTGCACTACAAGGTTGTATAACAGGAAATTAAACATACATCAACTGTCTTACATTAAGTGAAGAAGTAGCCATAAATATTAATTTTAATGTGTATGCCTTTATTAATAATATCTGCACTCCAGGCAATTACAGAACTTTTAAGTCAATGTATGACTTGACTTTTTAAATTCTTATGCAAGTCAATAAATGTTTCGAGTGCAGTTAAATAGACAGACACACCCACATGCTCAATAGGTAACACTCCACAGAAAATCCTCAGACGAGTCAATGTTCCTTTGTGATCCCTTTAGAGAGTTGTTGAGGCGGTGCTGAAGGCCATGCATGAAGTAGATGTGGTGAAAATGGAGACTTCCATGCACATTAATAAGATCTGGGTGCACCTATACCAGTCGTCATGCTGACGATTTTTCACTGTTTGAAGTATCTTGTAGGCTGGACTTCAGATACTTTTAAGGAGGCCAGTTGTAGATTCTTCAAATGCACTGAATTGCCAATGTAGCCGTTTCAGCAGTCAGCTAATCTTTGGATAGGCTCCGGGCCTTCTTCAGAGCAGTGTATGAAGAAAATACCTCAAACACTGTTCAGAATGCACAACGAATCCATTCGAACATATCAACCAAGGCCTACTGGAACTTTAGTACTGTATGTTGACTGCCAGTAGCACCGTCTAAAGACGTCACAACAGTAAACTCTGTTAATATGTGCTATTTCAGCGATATATCCTGGCGTTTTAGGGCAGCTCCTCAAACACTTGAAACAAGAATGTATGTTGTATGCTGTAATCAGCTCTCCGTAATCCATTTTAGTGAGGAGTTTACTGTAGACCAGTATAATTGGGTTTTGCAGTAACCGGTTGCAGTAGGTTGAACATTTTCTTTTTTAAGCTTTAACTACATTTGCTGATACTAAAGCTGCATGATAAGGCCACACTACTTAGAAATATGACATATAAATGAGTCAGTAAGCTGAAACATATGTTCTTTTATAACCTTCATATTTAATCAGACAAATGCATCCTTAAATGTAATCATTTGTTGTTACGCTAAAACATGTGTAAAGAATATATGTATTCTGCTTATTTAATATTTTCAGTTAATGTTATATGAGTTATATAAACACTGTCCAGGGCAAAGCTCCAAAGAAAACTGTGTAGGAATTGTAAACAGTAATTTACTCACGTTGAATGTACACTGGGAGCCGGAAACAATTTGAATACTTGAATTCAAACAGCTTAGCCTATAGTATGAATTTAATTGAACTGCAGCTATGGCCTTTATTGTATCTAACTGGAATAAATGGAATATATTGTACTTTCACTCTGCAGACATTAATTTGATTTTTGATTTTATTTTGTAAATCCAGTTGGTTTTAAAAAGCTTTTACAACATACATTTTTATTTGACAAGCAGCATTATAGCAGCATTATTTTGGGTCTTTTCCCTAAACTTACAAATTGTTTCAATCTTGAACCAAAGCCCACTGTTTTGTTCTTAATTAATTCAGACTAGCAAATAAAAATCAATTCAATTGAATCTAAGTGCCTAGCTGATGGTTAACGTAACACTTAACCATCAGTGCAAAAAGTGCTTTTCTTTTTTTTTAACAACTATGTTTACTCCACTAGATTGGCAGTGTGTATTTCCTGAAGACACTTCCTCGAGTCATGGTGAGTGTCAGACAGTTCAATTGTAATCTGCAGGTGTCAGAAAGGCACATAGAAGCACTGTGACAGGAATCAGATGTTGACAGAAGTGCAGTGTGAAACACAATAATCAGCGATAAGTCGGCTCGAGGTCCGTTTATATCTCTTTTAGATTTGTTTGATATCATGCAGTCGATGAGTTGTGGAATTGTCTGTCCACCTGCCTGAAGAGGTCTTGTTTGAGTTATCATAACTTGCAATCCATTAGTTAGATGTTGATTTCAGAATCTGGTTTTAACCCAGTGACGTCGTTGTGTGCTGCAGATGTTTCCTCTGGTGAATCACATGAATACAACCACCTCACAATTTGTCAAAAAGGTTAACTGTTGAACGGTTCCATTTGTTCTGTCCTGAACCCTTCATCTCCCCACCTTTTCTACACTCACGTACACACACCCCCCGCCAAACACACGCACACATACACCCTCCGTCATACACCCACCACCCTCCACGTCAGTGGCAGACAGGGGGAGAGGCGTATAAAAGAGTGAGGGACTTTGGAGGTAGAGCAGAAGAATCATCAGTGGTTTCCAAATCTTGTGACCAGCTGCCACCAACTGCGCTGCACTTTTCCACCACTCTCCTCTGGATCTCTGGCTATAGTCTGAGCTGCTCAGACTCACTCTCTCTCTCTCAAACACACACTCACTCACACACTCTTACCTCTGTGAGCCTTCTTCTCCTGTGACTGTAGCTCTGGTCTGTCACCTGCACTCCTGTCACAGCATGCAGCTTCTGGTGGTGTTAGCAGCTCTCATGGGGGTTCTGTTCAGCGTTAGAGCAGCAGCCGTGCTTCCTGTGGAAGATAGGAGCCCCATCCATGTGAACAGGGTGAGGGTGATTTTTATTGTTCATATGTAGTTCATTGCACTTGATTTCAACTGTTATTGAAGGATTTGTCCATTTTTTTGTGGCAAAAATTGCTTGAATAATTTGAATTTGAAAAGAATGACTCAACTTCACATCACAATTGCATGTTAAATCAACTAAAATAATAGGTATTTTTCTAATTTACATTTACAAGAATTTTCAAGAGAAAATGTATTCAGTTTTTAAATCCTCCTGTTAATTCATAGCGTCTAAAATGAAAAAAGTACAAATAAAAATACTTCAGAGTAAGGTTTCTGAAAGATGGTAAATTTACACATTTTCGACAATCTAGTCACTGTAATAATATGTTCTCCTCTCTTCTGATTTTTGGTCAGGAGTTGAGCAAAGAACGCAAGGAGTTGATCCTGAAGCTGGTGTCCGGCTTGTTGGATGGAGCTCTTGACACCAATATGCTGCCGGGGGAAGCGGCACCTGTGGATCTTGAGGAGCCACTGGAGTCTCGTCTGGAGGAGAGGGCTGTCTACAACAGGCTATCGCTGCCTCAGCGTGACCGCAAAGCCCCCTGTAAAAACTTCTTCTGGAAAACTTTCACCTCCTGCTAACAGTGCCCCAAAACCACCCGGCTCTGCCTGCCTACTGTACTCCTTCCCTCCCAGCTCCACATGAACTGTAGTAGACCTCAGCTGTACATATCATCTACACCTGTCAGACATGCAGCATCGATGGACTTCACTGAGACAGTGTGTCTGTTTGAATATTAATTATTTATGTATCTATTGTATGTATTTATGTATGTAACCGTTTCTTTCAGGGTCAATAATAAAGCATGGATATAATATTTGAGATGGTAATCACAGTTAATTGTTTTTGTTCAAGAGAGAAAAGGTGAGATTTTTTCAAAGACGCACAATACCACAATATAAATGCAAAAAAAAGAGTTACATTTCATCCAAAAATAATGCCTGTATTTTCATTGTGGATTGGAACATTTACTAAACTTAAATTATGGAAATACAGTATATTAGCTTAAATATTTTTCTATATCTACTAAAAACCAAGTTGCAGCCCTAAAAGACACACAGAGCGCAGTTCATAATCTCACTTATTCTGCTTTGCATTTGTTGCTGTATAACTGTCTTTCTAGTTTATGGGTAAAGGAAATACTCAAGGGATTGAATAAGAAATATAGCCCCTTTCACAAGATAATATTTAATATTCTAATGAAGAAACGAAAATTAGAAGTGCTGTAATTGGATCCTTAAAATAAACAGCCTGCTACTAATTTATTTATGAAAACTATAAATTCAAAATAATGTTGTGCCTTAATGGCTTACAAATATATATATAAATATATATATATATATATATATATATATAGTAAGATATAAAAAGTAAATAAATCAGATGCTTTCCACATATTCACCCAGTGCTGTCGGCAGTACATGTAGCCTGAAAGGTGGAAACCCTGTTGTACAATTAAACAGTGAAAACAATGACAGGTCTAAAGATAAAAGGTGCGTAGTGCTGATATCAATTTGACCTCAGTGTTTAATAGTGAAAGGACAGACGAGATTGTTGCTGCATGTTGAGACCATGTGACCCTATCATTCTCGAGACCCTGCATTGGCTACCCGGTTCTCAATCAGTCACACTACAATTACCACACACTCTCATAGCCCTCCTGACATGTTCGACCAGGGTGATATGTGTGTTTTTTAACCACTTACTGAGGTGGAGCGTGGAGAAGGTGC